CCTCCTGCCAAAGAACCACCTTAGAACCGGGTTCTACGTTGCCCATGACTTGAAGACTCATGACGGGTGACAACTATGAAAGGGTAAAAACAAGGTAGATGTAAAAGTTAGTGGTCAGCTCAATTTAAAAAAAAAAAAAATATATATATATATATATATGTACATCGCTTCATTTCTGACAGAAGTGGGACAAACATTTATTTATTAACTATTTTTGTCTATATACTGTGTATATATATATATATATAGATGATCAAATCTTATTGTGAGTTGAGTGCATTGTTAAGTATGTATGTGTGTATATATGCATATATGTGTATATATATATATACAAATAAATAAATAAATACACATTTAAATATACAATGTATATGCTTCCCACATATGTATGTACATATATAGTCAAATATGAGTCAAATATGAATCACATCGACAGTTCAGGTTCAGTGTAACCTTGAGACCTTTGTGATCCAACCTTATAACATGACATGTCAACCAGTCACCTGTCCATCACCCACTGTGATCAGAGCACAGGGAGTTCTACAAACTGCCTCCCATGTTTCTAACCACATACTGAGAACATCACATCGTCTTCTCGTCGGTGTTCTTTGCTGCTGTCCCTGTTAGAACTGACTGGCTGTAATCACGACACCACTCAAAGCTGACTCTCAGAGTTGTTGACCTGAGTCACAGCAGCAGCTCAGTCGCTCCAGCCTGTAGCCCTAGTTTATTCACCATTATTAAACCAATTATTACTTCAGAACAGCAATCATTTCCGATATAAAAAAATTGCAAGAAAATTGGGTGCCCCAGTTTCCTCCAGCCTGACTGAGTCCCTACTGGACAACTGAGACATCACACGTCTCTGTTGTCTGCATCTCTTTGTCTATAAAGTGGTGAACAAAACCAGTTAAAGAACTTTTTTTTAATTATTTTCCATCTACCGTTTTTACATATCAAATCATGCTGAGCACAGAGAGGCAGGCAGTCCTTGAAAACCACAGCTGTTTTTGGTCCTTTTTTACTGGATATTAACACAACAGCAATTTCTTTCAATCAATTGACAAATGACTGATACATTTAACGTGGTAATGAATTATCATGCTGGCAGAGAGAATATGGACTCATGAAAAAAAAAAAGAAAATCTTTGTTTTGGTTTAATGATTTGTGCTGCTCAGCAACTCTGTTTTCTCCGCTCTCTCATTCTTATTCAGAACCACAACGTGTCAAACTGTTGCCCAGGCTGCTCTGGTTGGAGGCCAGTTCACTGTGTGAACACCACGGTTTCACTGGTGTCTCGGTCTGATGGATACACAGACAGTGGAGTCTGTCATACAGACACACACGTGGACACCTCTACACTGGTCTGTACAGAGGGTGAACAGGTGCGGAGCGCAGAGACATCCTGTGAGGATAGGTTCACGACCAAAGGTCTGGTTTCTGAAACAAATCAATGGCGAAAAATAATGCGTCGCTGCAGTTTTTCCTCGAGGAAAAACGTTTTTTTTTTTTAACCGACGTTCACAAAGCCCAAAACTGAGAACGGTCCAAAAGCCGTGAGATGGAAATGATTCGTGAATCTAGTCAGCAAGAACCAGTTGGCAAAAGGACAGAAAAACAATGGCGTTGAAAATTGTGAGAAGAATCTGTTTTGTTTTATAAACAGAACTGATTTTTCTCATTCGTAATAATACAGTGGATAAGCTTGAAAAATAACAGAAAGCGACACAAAAATAAAATTTAAAAAAGCCTCAGAGCCAAATAAGTAGAATGAAGCAGTAATGTAACAGTACTCACTGGTTCAGCTCCACGTCCAGGATGAATCCTTTACCAAAGGCCTCCACTTGAAAGCTGGCCTGGGCCACGTGGTTCACCTGAAATGGTGGAGAGAACAGATTATGTAGCATTTCTCAGAGGGCGCCGTCATCACACTGACCGCGCAGCTCATTATCATATCCACAGATCAATCCTCCACAACGTTGATGGATCTACACTGTCGCTTTTTCCCCACCAATCAGCAGTAAGTTTGAGGTGTTTTTAATGAAGTCATCAAACTGCCCGCTGTTTGACGACTCCATCTGGCAGCTGAAGACAAACAAACAAAAATGTACCGTGGAGCTATTTCATTTTCCCTCCATTACAGTTTTTCTCTCTCAGCAGTGGTGCGTTTAAAAATATAGTTCACATTCAGAAACAGACACTCTTCTTTTTTTTTTTTCTGCGTGCGATTGATTTGGCCTGAGGGTGGTCGGACTCATTGTCAGCGGTGGGCACATGTGGTGCAGGCTTTATGACACAGCCCAGGTCAATGAGAACTCATTCCTGTGCAGGTCCAGGGGAGTCCCCGAGCCCTGCTACACCGACACCCCCACCACCCTGCAGGCGACCTTTACAGACCGACGTGAGGAAGCAAGAGGAGGGGGAGAAAAGGAGGAGGTGTGTGTGTGTGTGTGTGGGGGGGGGGGCCTCGTGTTCACCCAAGGCTGAACTTAGTGCATGAGGTCCCCAGTGGCACAGTCTATTGTTCATCAGTAGGTCCCGGTGTGGACCATGCATATATATGGACATGAGTGTGTGTGTGTGTACATTCCTGGTATTACTATACTAGTAGGGACAATTTTGTCATTTTTTTTGAGAAATACTATAATTGTAGGGACACATTGTCCTTCCGAGTCCCCGCTGCCTGAGAACATATTTTGGGGTTTTAATATTTAGTTAAGGGCTAGGATTAGAATTAATGTCAGATTAAAGATTAGGATTAAGGTTTTAAATCTTAACATTAACCTTAACAGGTTAGGGGGATGCATTGTCAATGGGAAGTCCCCATGACAAAACAAAAAAGTGTATGTGTGTGTGTGTGTGTGTGTGTGTGCATACAAAAGGTAATTCCTTTCCATTCCACTCTTATGATGAAATATAATCTCATCCACTGGCCCTCTGGTGGGAGGAGTCAGCAGTAATCGTGTTAAATGAAAGCACATCCCGACTGGACTGATCCGGGATCAGTGTTCTGAACTCCAGCAGCGACTCTTCTTACACTGAGGCCGTCGTTACTGTGACGCTGACTCTCCACTCTCCACGCTATTAAAGAATGAGCGTAAGTGCTGTCAGAGCAGTGTGTGTGTGTGTGTGTGTGTGTGTGTGTGCGTGCACACTCACAGGAAGAGGGAGAGGCAGGCAGGCCAAAAAACAAAAAAACAAAACTGAAACTGAATCAAAGTGAAGAACTCATTCTGCACCAGAACAACCACAGGCCTCAGCTCCACGTCTCACTGCTCACTTACGGCTGACGCTGAATGTGAACCAGGCAACAGAGGTCTAAAAATAGACGTCGGCATCTGACAGTTGTTTTTAGGCCATTGATCTAAAATCAGCCAATAACTGATCTAACCTTTGAACAAGTGACTTTGCTCAGTGTTGTCTCTCCAGAGAACGATGAAACAAAACAAACACAAATCAAAGATGCCACTGCCTGCCTCCCTCTCTCCTCCTCCTCCCTCTCCTCCTCCTCCCTCTCCTCCTCCTCCTCTGCATCTATTCTACCCTCAAGTCCAGCTACTGACTCAAAAGACCTGAACCAAGAACTGGATGAATCAGAATCTCCACACTGTATATTTTACAGCTACATTTAAATCTCAATATTTTATGATATCATAATAAATAAAATTGTTAGAAATTATATTAGGCGCTCCCCAACCACTGGGTCGGGGACCAGATCCCGGCCGTGAATCACATCATGTCGGGCCGTACAAAAGTCTGCATGGAATTTCATATTGAACAATTATCACTTGCATCTATTCTTACATTTTTTCTATTAAGAAAAGGCTCCAAAACTGTCCCCCCAAAAAAGCTGCTTTTAAAGGAAAATACCAAGAGTCTGAGAATCAAAGTTAAATTATTATATCTCAGTTTGATAGATAAGAACTATATTTTATGCAGTATCATGCACACACACACACACACACACACCTCTGCCACTGAAGTTAATACATAGTGTAAAAATGACAGTTATCATAATAACTGCAGGGGGCGTTGTGACATCTTTGGTTTATTAAATTATTTTTTATATTGTATTCTTATATTTTTTACCCAATTTTTTTCATAACTTTAAATGCCTTTAACATAAATTCGACATATAAATATATATTTAGGCAGGAGAAGTGGGAAATACTCACGCTGATCTTAGTTAAGGATTTCGCTGTTGGATATCGAAGTTCCACCGTGGTTCACATTATTCTGTTATTTTTAATAAATAGTATGTTGTTGCTTTTTGTTTGTTTTGTTTTTTAGTTTTTTCATTTTTATTATTCTACCAAATATTTGGTCCATGAAAGTCCATTTACTTGAATGGAGCCAGAAAAATCAACTCAGTTTGGTTCCAATTAGTCGGTTATTTATTGCAGGTGTGTGAGTCTCAGACACAATAAGAGTCTGTTATCACCACCTCGTCTTAATCCAGATGATTCCACTCCGTTCGTGGTGAAAACCTCAGCTGACCCTCTGATCACAACAGTCTTTTCTCTGTTTTTGTTTGTCATGAACCCATTATTTTTTCAGGTTAGACTGAGTCTAACAGTCTAACCTGAAGGCATCCCCTCCACCCTGCCTGCTCTACGTGACGGTAAAACGATAACACCTGCGTGTACCTGCGTGGCCCCGGGGCTGGCTTTCACCCTGGTGCTGAGCTCGTCGTGCAGGACCTGGCTGTGGTTGAGTCTGCTGAAGAGCAGACGGAGCGGCACCGTGTCCTCCTTCCCGACGAACCTGCCTGCATCACGCAGAGCCTTCATGCTCGTGAAGGCGTCTCCTGCACACACCAAATGCAAACACGTTCATCACAAACACGGCCGTCTGACAGTCGGCTGAACGGCAGCGGTAGACACACTGATAATATTTGCTTTATCTCTGTCCTATTGAACACAGGGCTCGTCATTTACCGTCTCGCTCGTTTGTGCCGCTCTGGTGACCGACGCGCATCAGTCCACAGACGCACAAAAGGGAAATCCACCATCGTGGGCTCTTCATCAGCATCATCACCCTCCTCTTCTCTTCCCTCCTCCTGTCTCGGGCTGGGAATGACAAAACAATGCGGTATTCCGGGAGCAGGCTGTCGGGGTCCTGCCTGTGCTAGGAGAGCTGGGAGCCGGAGCCGGGGCTGGTCCTGTGGTTAACGCAGACCCGTCGGTGATGGGGGGCCATCGGGGTTCTTCAAGGACTGAACGCCAAACACGTCTGAGTGTAAAGACACTCCGTAGATGAGCGGCAGCACTGAGGAGGTGGGGAGGGGAGTGAAGAGGAGGAGGAGGAGGAGGGAGAAGGGAGGAAGGATGGCGAAAGAGAGGGAGGGAGGGAGAACTGGGAACACCTCCTTACAACACACCAACCTCCAGTGGCTCACTGCAGAAAGGAGCTAATGCATAAATATGAGCGGAGACAGGACGGAGGAGAGATGACGGCCCGACCCTGCTCTGCTGTGGGGGTGAAACCAAAAACCCCCTCCACCTCCAGGAGAGGAGCCACATCCCTGCCTGAGTCTGACGGTGAGGAAACTGGAGGACCATCAGCACCGTGACTCACTCCCTCAGCTGCCAGAACAGCTGAGCTACAGCAGCCTGTCACTGTTGAAACTGTACTGTGAAATAATTCATGAAATAATTTTTTAATTTTCCTTTGTCCCCAGAGAAATTTATGTTTCTAATCAAAAAAAAAGCGAAAAAAAAGTCAGTTAAAATCCAAAGACTGAATTTTAAGATTGGATCAAACACATTTTTGGTCCATTTTATCTTAAAAAAAATGTTAAAAAATGAAGACAAATATTTTTATTTGAGAGTTTCTAAGTAACTAATTCTACAATATGATGATAAAATAGTGGCCTGAGGGCCGCTCACGGCCCAGACACAACCTCAGCGTGGCCCGGTCTGTGATCATTGGAGTCATTTGAACCAAGGCTTTAAATCAGTTTCTTAATTTAAACTGGAGAAGATGGTGTATTTGGTAACACAGGTTATTTGATGTTTTATTTTGGAATCCAGTCGTGGCCTGTTTGGATGGATTGGTGGGCCGGATTGGGCCTGCAGGCCGTAAGTTGATGATCACTGCTGTATTTATTGAACTGGCACACAATTGACAATAAATACATTTACATACAGTCTCTAACCAGTGAATGCAGATTTTTTTTTTTAAATACCTTTGTGTTTCTTTTATGGATCATTTTTTTTACAATCTCAGGGGAGTCATTCCCACTAGTCAACAGGTGAGGGCAGTACACACTGTGCACTGCCCACATTTGCCACCAGTGGCCCTTTCTTGAACATGAACCCAATAAGTCACATTGAGAAAACATGAACAAGTTTCTTTATTTTAGAAGTTTTATTTTTCTATTTAAAACTCAAATCCATGAAACTCTACATCCATGTCATCACTGGACTGGAAGAGTCTCAGCAGAGAGTTGTGAGAACCGTTGCTTTGACCTCCCAGTACACAGGTCTCTATTTTCCGTCTTTTGCGTTTATAAATTCGGACCCTTCTCTGTATTTTTCGAACAGCAGAGAAGCCGGGCGCTGGGACGTGTGTGTTTTCCGTGCGGTCGTCTGCAGCTCCGTCCTGCACCGACTCAAACTGCGGCAGACCCTCGTGTGTTTCAGTCTCCTCTGGAGGTTTTGTCACATTTAACTTCCTTAGGGAGTCGCTCCGTGTGGTGGCATCCTGAGGGAGCGAGGACGAACTGTTCTGAGATATTTGGTCCACGGTGTCGACCTGAGCGGCAGAACAGGAGGCGGTCACATGACCTTCACCTTCGGGGGAAACAGTTTCTCTTCTGTCCAGAGACATTTGTGCATGGTCCCTCGTTTGAGGACCACAAGTCCAGGAATTCTGTCCACACAGCCGTTTAGCTGCCTGGGACTTGGACCTGGATCTGCATGAGTAAGAGCTATGGTTCCTCCTGTCCTTGCGAATCAGAGATGTGGACACAGGAGCTGATCTGGTTTTCACAGCATGTCCTGAATTAGATTCTCTATCGACAGTCTGTTGCTGCTCCTCTTTCAGAGTCTCCTGGGTCCCAGAGTCTCCTCCTCTGTGTCTCACTTCACTTTTCCCACAAGGTCTGGAAACAGAGAGAACAGATGAAACACTGGGGCAAAAAAAAACAAAAAAAACCCAGAAATCAACTGATATGTTTTCAAGGTAAATGGATGGAATGTTTTGTATAAAAGTACCTTCCAGCTTGTTCTCTGATGGTGATGAAGTCAAAGTGCAGCGTTGAAATCTGTCTGTCCACCACTGAATACTCATCACTCTTAGAAAAAGCTTTGTGACACTCACTCTGTAGATGCTGAACAAAAAAATGTTCTGGTGTTTAATGATTGATGACCACGGCTCTCTACAGCAGCAACTGACTACATTGTAAAGTAATTACATAAAATAAAAAAATAAAAAATCTGGTCCAAGAGTCGAAGTTCTAATAAAACATTCACAAAAGAGGAAAACATTTTCTACTGAGCCAGAGAGACACTCGTCTGTAAATGTGATCACGACTCGGTGCACCCCGCAGGACAATGTGGTCCAAACCTGAATCCTTTTTTTAATATTCTGTATCTGATGTATTTTAATGACAGTGTGAACAGCATACATTCATTTTACAATTTCAAAACATGAGAGAGAACGTCAGGACTTACACTTCGGAGGTTTTCGTATTTGACCTTACAGCACTCGCAGTAGCTGCCTCGTTTCTTATTCCTCTTCTTTCGTCCGTGAGCTCTCTGATCACTGGCTGAGGCTTTCACGTCTCTGCAAAAAAACAGTAATTATTTTTTGTTGTGTGTTTTGTTCGTGCCCCTCCCTCATTGATTTGTGGTCAGCAATTTTCAGAACTCTCTCAAATGCACTAGACCCGGAGGTTCAACCTCAGGCTCGTTCAGATTTATGTGGCGTTGCACCAGACGACAGTCAAGAAGTGTAAAGAAGTTATAGCAGATACCACTTTATATTGGACGTTTCCCAAAACAACCACACGTCTCCCAACCTTTTGCTTTGATTATGTCTTTAAAACATCCAATACACACTCAGCTGTTCCAAAGTTCACTTCTACAGCACCTGGAATCCAGTCATCTCTGACAGTAAGTACAATCTGTGACTGAGTGATCGGTAAGGATCATACAGCTCAACAAAACAACCTTTTATTCTTATAATTATTATTATGATATCATAAAAATATTTTCTCTCTTAGTTTAATTTATGTTGTGTGTATCTATTTACCCAAGATGCACCTCCCAATAAAAAGAAATGTAATTTTGAAATCAATTTCTCAAGTCCATCAGTGATACAAAGAATACAATTGTAAATCTGTGTTAAATCTGTGTTGAATTCCCGTCTGATGGAAGAACTGTCCAAGAAGAAAGGCAGAAAACGTCAAACCTTTTTCCTGCCGTTTTCTTCCAGGGTGAAAACTTGTCCTCGACGTAGAAGGGACTAAAAGGAGGAACAGTGTGAAGGTTGAACTCCGACTTGTTTGGCAGTGAGAGGTAGATTGGACGATAGTGTCTGAGAAAAGGAAATGTGACATTTAGTAGGTTTTTTTTTGCTAGGAATGACGAAGACAGTGATGAGTGTAGATGAAAACCTGCTGAAGTCTTCAACTTTGACGAAGGGTTTTCGGATTCGTCCACCTAGGAAACATGTTTGTGACATTTAATAGTGTTTGAGAATTTGCCCACAGAGAATAAAAAATAAAAATAACGAGCTCGACAATTTAATAAGATTATTACCACTGGATATCTGGTATTCTTTCTTTGTTGTTGACCCAGATTTGACCTTTAATAAAAACAAACAAAAAAAAAACCACATGTGGATTGTAGCCAAACCAGAAATTAATTTCTTTACAAAAATGATCATATATGTTTAAAACTCACCTTGGTCTTAACAGCAGCTGTGTCACGACACTGGCTGAGTATGGACTGTTTCTTCTTCTGCACGTACGCGATCACATCTGCATTTACACAAATTATCAAAAACGTGCACAGCACGCACACATTTAAACAGCCAAAATACTGAATAGAGAAAAAAAAACACCACGGGAGCTCACCGTTTACGTAGAGGATTTTCACGCCCCACTCCAGAGCATTTGACAGAATCCTGTTCATTCGAACTCTCTCCTTAAAACACACACACAGTTTGTTAGCACAGACAGGGAAGTTGTTTCTTCACAGCCATTTGCAATCTGCTCAGATTTGACTTCACCCACCTGATCTTTCACCACTCTCTCCACCAGAGATTTCCCTCTGCTAGCAACAACCTGTATAAAAAATAAATAAATAAATAAAATATATATATATGTGAGATAACATGTCAAAGATTATCAGTCCACCATATGTATCACGATGTTGCAGCAGTGAAAAGTAAACACACCGTCTGTGTTTGACCAGGCGGCCTGCTTTTAAGGTGGTCGCCGTGGCTGCCTGGTCGGTGCAGGTTTGTATTAGGGTAAGGGGAGCTTGGTCCAGAGTCCGGGCTGGGGACGGGAGAGTCCTGTCTGAGGTGCTGCACACATGGAGTCTGCCTCTTGTTGGAGACCAGATACTTTATTTCCTTACTGAAAAACTTCTCAACAGTCTAAGTGACAGACAGAGAGACAGACAGGTTTTTAGGTTATTTGAGATATTTGAAAAAAAAAAATCAAAATCAACTCTGAAGTGACTGCTGCATACTGTTAAACATGACAAAATATTTTAGCTGAGCTCACAGCTGGTGGCAGTCAATCACACATGACAATCCCCGCCTTAAGGTAGTCTTAAGCTGTATTTCCTATATGAGCAATGGTTTTACGCAAAATCATTGGAAAAATGTATGTTGACACAGAGCACATTAAAATAAACAGTACAGTGTGACAGTGTCTTACCCCACCCAGCTGTTTTATGTCACTCTCCAGTGTTTCTGATGTTCTGTTCGAGGGCAGGTCCAGGTAAAACACTTTCCCCGCAAACGGTTTGCATGAAACAGGACATGACAGACGCGACGTTCGATTGGCCTGGGTCATTTTTGGGTCTCCAGACTTTCCTGAAAAACCAGCAATTGTCCCACAAAAGGACAAAACATTAGTGTAACTTGCTTGGTCAAGTCTGACAAGTTTTTGTCAGCACCTGTATTTAAATGTGCATTGTTTAAAAATATGTGCTCCTCTTCCATTCTGGACATGTTAAGTTTGTTTTCAACTGCAAAGAACTTAGAGTCGTATAAATATATCACGTTAAAAACTGCTTATATTTGCCATTTTTGAAACGATCTGCCTTTAACATCCATAAAGTGTTTTAATGGCTGTATACATTTAAGTGACATGTTGGTGGTTCTATGTAGATCACAAACTTTCTCCGTGACCGGTACAGAGTTCACGTTTCATTATGTCAAGCGAACTTCTATGTTTAAATAAAAAGAAACAAACTACTGTACACCATTACCTTGCCAGCTGGACTCTCGATGTTTCTTCGTGTGTTTTGGCTTCATTTTACTCTTCGCTAAGAGAATGAGATGTTACTTTTGCCTTCGGGGATAATGTCAACATGCCGTTTGAAGTTTTTTGCATTCTCCCCCTTTTGTAAACAAAGAACACTATTTGTAAAATCAGGAAAAACAAAACACGTAACTGTCTTGCTGATTAAAGAACATATCAACAAACAAAAACTCACGCGAAGTCCTACATTTTGAAACAGACATAAAACATCGTCGAACAATTGCTCAGCTTGTGTCCCATTGTTTGACAAATATAACTTAAAAACAGTGTAATGAGTAGAGTTGACATTTTTAAAACCACGTAATATCCATTGGCCTACAGTTTTAAAATTATGAACGAACTAACGTCAACTTCTCCGTCAGTCAAACCGCTCCTTCCCGCTTTAAATCCAATAGTGGAGGAAGTATGAGTTTCCACGTCTGATAATTTCCGACTTTCCCGTTACCACATAAAAAATATATATACTTATGTCACTGTGCCCAAAAATAAATTATCATGGTTTAATGTAGTTGTTACACCTTTAAAAAATATTATTCTGCCCTAATTAAAGCCTTCTTACTGCTGCTGTCTCATAAAATAATCTCCCCAGATCTTTACGGAAAAACAAAAAATCTGGCAACTTTAAATCTAAGTAAACAATGTTTTTGTTCCCGTGTACACTTTCTTCACTATCTAACGTAAAAAATAAAATATATAATTAGAATTATCGCAGATACATACTCTACAGATATAGTGAATGCATGTGTGTTTCTATTATTTACTTAATGTGAAGTATTCTATTGTAAAAGAAATAGCGAATCTGCTCCGTTGAAACACCATTACGCAACTAACGTCAATATCGTCTGTTTTTGTAACGCTAGCAGACTGTGGGTTAAAGAGCACAGCAATGCGCACACGCACGTGTTTATACATTTTTAATGGGTTGACGCATTCCACCAACGGCAACTTTCTGAACTGAAAGAGGGAGTATAAAGTCGAGGGGGATGCGTATGTTCATGAAGGTCTTTTTAGACGCTATAACGTTTTCTCAGGTAAGAAGTTGGTCAAGCTAATCAGCTACATCCTTATGTTCGCATCACACACTTCATGCCAGCCGACTCACGCAGCTATAGGCAAGGTCAGTTTTTGTAAAATACGATAACCCGAAAGCTCATCTAAAAAAGTAATCTCATGTTGAGACGTGTCTGTGTTTTGTGAAGGAACAATGAGTGGTAAAACGTCTGCTCCGTTTGTCACCAATGGAATTACTCCACTCCAGCAGATGGTGGCGTCCTGCTCTGGAGCCATCCTCACGTCACTCTTCGGTGAGTTTATAAATAATATTAAAATATCTGGAGAAAGTATGTTTCTCTGATCAAACATATAACGTTATAATTTGGTATTTAAGTTAAATAAAAGTGCTCCACAATAGTAATTACATAAATACATACCCTGCGGATGATGCTTTAAACACCGCAATGTAAATAGAGTTTTCTAACATAGAGATTCTGACTACTGCTTATACGTAGAATAACCGTGGTATCTCAGTAAAGCCAGTTACAAGCGGTTAGTTAACCCTTTGTGCCTCAGAGAGACTTCCCCTGACAACCAGAATCAGTTTGGCAACTTAACAGTACAAATTCCCACTTGTTGTATCAAAGTGTATATCATTGCAGACCTCGCTACTTGGCCAAATTGCCATTTACACTTGCCGTTATCTGTATGTCACACACACACACACATACACACACCACTACAGTATAACATTTGTTCCCACCCACTCCACCCTGTTTCTACCCCAGTCTCTCAACTCATCCACTTTTACAACAGTTATACAGTTTTTTTAGTGTTTCAATAAACTGTATTATACTGTAACATATTAAGTGGATTGTATTTTGGATCTTGAACCCACATTCTAATGATGTTCTCATGTTGTAGTTACACCGCTGGATGTTGTGAAGATTCGGCTCCAAGCGCAGAAAAACCCCTTTCCCAAAGGTTTTTTTTTTTAACAGTCATTAAATCAAGCATAGTGTTATAAAATGTTTTCTCACCAAATATAGTCTTGATATTTAGGCAAATGTTTTGTCTACTGCAACGGACTGATGGACCACATATGTGTGTGTGAAAATGGAAACTCGAAGGCCTGGTACAAAGCACCTGGTCACTTCAATGGCACCATGGTAAAAAAAACAAACAAAAAAAAAACATCTCATACAAAAACATTCTTCTCAAAGTTACTTCATTGGTTGAAGTAACACATTCTTCTCTCTGACCTGTATCTGCAGGACGCTTTTGTGAAGATTTTACGCAATGAAGGAATAAAGTCATTATGGAGTGGATTACCTCCAACTCTGTGAGTGTTGGCAGAATTATAGACACATTATCACTGTTTTTATTACCCCAAAACGTATATATAATATTATTATTCTATATTATTTTGCTGTTAGTTGTCCTTTACATATTTACTTTCTAGATTCTTATTCACAACATGGCTAAATTTCTTAGTTAAACATCTATAAATCAGACTCATTGTTATATTCTATTTTACAAGCTATCGTATTTTATTTATGTGTATAAACATGTTGTTTGTTTGTGTCTCCAGTGTGATGGCAGTCCCAGCCACAGTGATTTACTTCACTTGTTACGACCAGCTCTGTGCAGCACTCAGGCGCCGCATGGGCAGCTACGCTGACGAGGCTCCTCTTCTGGCAGGACCAATAGCTAGATGTGAGTAATACCGCTGACACCTGTCCAGTCACTGACATCACGGCCGATAACGGCTACGTTCACACTGCAGGAAAAACAGATTCCAGATCCAGATTTTTTTTTTACCCCGTTTTGTCTTTGTTCACATCAGTGGGGGCAGCGACGGTCATCAGCCCGCTGGAGTTGATCCGAACCAAGTTGCAGTCTCAGAAACAGTCGTACAGAGAACTGACCGCCTGCATCCGCACTGCGGTGGAGGCCGAAGGCTGGCTGTCCCTGTGGAGGGGTCTGGGACCCACCCTGCTCCGAGACGTGCCCTTCTCTGCCATGTACTGGTACAGCTACGACAAGGGGAAGAGGTGGCTGTGTGAACAACAAAACACCAGAGAGCCCACGTTCAGCATCGCCTTCACCGCCGGAGCAGTGTCTGGTTCTGTGAGCGCAGCCCTTGAACAAACCCCACTGATAACTTTGACGTTTTACCCAGAAAGAATTGTTTGCTGATTCGGGTTTGTCTGTTACAGATCGCTGCCGTCGTCACGTTACCCTTTGACGTGGTGAAGACGAGAAGGCAGGTGGAGCTGGGAGAGTTACAGGCCAAGAATTGTAATTATGACATTAAATCCTTATCACCATTTTAACTAGTAAATACAACAGCTGATGATTTGCAGCGCCCCCTTTTGTAGGTGGGACAACTGTCAAGCTCCTATTATTGCTACAGAAAAACACTGCAATTCCCACACAACCGTTTTTATTAGAAAAAAGAAATAAAATTACATGTCATTACAATTTTCCCTAATGGGTCACAACATTGGAAAAAAAAGATATTCATTTGCGTTGCTTCGCCACATACTTGACTTGGATCCACTGTTGTAGTAAAACATGATCATAAATAATTTTCCTTTTTTTCATTATTTAACTAGAAATTATTATAGGTTCCTGGACACTTTAATGTTACATAAATATGTAGAAACTAAATGGAAACTTCTACTATGCCGATGGGATTTCTCTGATTTTGAAAAAATATTTCTCTTAAGAATGTACTTGAGGTCTAATCAATCTAGACTTTCTATTTATAAATGTAATTTCTGCATCTCTGGAACCGATTCTTTCCTGTGTTTTGTCAGTATCATCTGAGGTCTCCACCAGCACCTACAGTGTGATGAGCAGGATCGTGGCCCAGGACGGCTTTGGTGGACTGTTCGTAGGTAGTAACGTTTTACTGGAATTAATATTTCGTAATTCATAATAACAGTTGTGTTGTGTACTGACTTGACTTTGTTTAATTTCTCTCCCTGACAGGTTTCCTGCCCAGACTCATCAAAGTGGCCCCCGCTTGTGCGATAATGATCAGCTCTTATGAGTTCGGAAAGGCGTTCTTCCGCAAGCACAACCAGGAGCGCGTTCTCAGTCTGTTACAGACCAACAACACCTGAAGGAGTTCTCATCACATCACGTCAAATCAAACGGCCACTTCTACAAGCTCAGACTTCCAAATAAAAAATAAATCTGTTCTCTCTAAGATAATGCCACTTAAAAAAACTGAGCTTTAAACAAAAATCTGTTTATAATAGGTATATTACAGTTTATCACATGGTTTTATGCTCGCTGCTCTACACACTGAGGACGTTTTCTATGATGAGTTTAATCATTCTGTTGTAAAAACAGCTTCCTGTTTTTAAATCTCTGATTCAAACAGAGGTCACGTGCACTGGTCCTTTAATTTGGGGATTTATCATTTCATTTAAATTCCAGAGTCACTTTTTTTTTCCATCTTTTCCTTTCAAATGTAAACGTTGTCCGGAGATGTCGTCGTCTGCAGCACTTACATCAAATTTCATAGTCAGACTGCTGGGTTTGAAAATTGAAAGTCCAAACATGACATTGTTTCAAGACCAGCGTCATGAGTGAAAGTCTGATTATGTCTGGAGGTTTTTTTTTATTAAAAAAATCACCTGATTAATGAGTGTACACTGTGGTTCTACAAGAACCAGGAGAACATAAAATAGTATGTTTTGATCAATGATGTCTGTCATTAACTCTTTGTATTATTGTGTTGCGTCTGCCTTTAATCTAACACTTGTACTTCAGTAGGAAGTGATTATGATGAAGTTGAAAGTTCTCACTGTGAAACCTATTCCACGAAGCCTCTGAGTTTAAACATTTGAATAATGTTTTTGTTTTTTGTCATTCATGCCATATGTGGGTGGATTTGTGCCAGAAACCTTTATGTTATTTCTTAAGCTTTGTGTCTGAAAATAAAATCTGAAAAGTTTTCTTCCTTTTTCTGTTTCCTTTGTAGAAGAAAAAAATGCATGAACGCTGCAGACATCGACCATTTTCAGTATGAAAAATAAGAACCGTCTTCGTTTAGTTAAGGAATAATAAACACTAGGAACTGGACACCAGTCTCAGCTGCTGCTCTGACTTTACACCTCATCGTAAATTCCGCTCTCTCTTCTCTTCCTGAACTCCTGTCATTTTTAAATTGGTGACTTTTGGTTCCGTTTAGATACTGAGGCTCTGCCGGACTGCACAGCTCACAGCAGCTACAGCACTGAGGCTTAAAATGATTGAATTCTGACCCAAACTATCACCTGTACTAACTGTAGGGGCAGTGTTTTCCAACTGTTTTCGAGCTCCTGTCCACATTTTACATTAGAAAAGTTGGACCTAAGTCTAATAGTGTAAAAAAAAGTGAGTCGTTTTATCAAATAAATATAAACATTTTTATATATGAGCATACACCCACACCGGTGAGTTATGATTGGCGTTTGTAAAAATTACAATCGCTATTAATTGCATCGACACACACACACACACACACACCGTGTACCGCATTTAACAAGAATCTGCTCAATTACTCACTACTGTGGATCCTCTCAGGTAAACGATTACGTTTTCATTCATTCATGTTTTCCCCACAGACGTTAATGTTGTGCTGAGTGACGCTATTAGTGCCAATGAATGCACCACGACGCCTCGTTAATATCGTAAAATATTAATCATCAATACATACAGTACTGAGGTTTTTGATCACAGTAGGTGGCGCCAAATCTCAACAAAAGTCAGTTTAACTTTTAAATTACAATACATTTATACTCCAGACATCAATTTTCATCAAGTATTTGTTTCAGTGCAACTAAAGCAGTAAAGTAACGTAGTAAAACTTTACAGAATCAACTTAGAATAAGAATTAGTTCGATCAATCAGACTGTGACTAACATAGTAGTAAATCCTAAATGTTTCATAATTGTTCCGTTGGAATTAATCTGTGAAAAATATATATATAAAAAATCAGAGGCATGAAAGTGATAAAGGGTCAGGTATGTGATCCAGCTGGTATGTACAGTACTGTGCTAAAGTTTTGTGTACGTGTATTGTCAAGTATTTGAATAAATGTGATCTTGACATTTGTTTTTAAAAAATTTGGAATGAGGTGAAAATAATACAGTAAAGGATCACGCCCTGCGTGAAACTTTTGCACAGTACTGTAGATTTGCATGAAGTCTATAAGGCTTCCTGAAAATTCTCCTTGCTTTGTTCACTTCCTGTTTTGCTGGCCTTACTGTGGCCCAACTGCTTTGTCACTAACGTGTGGTAGAATCCCCTTTTGGCCAGAAGCTGTTCATGCGTCCCCTGTTCCACCAAAACTCCTCCGCGCAGGACGGCAATGCTGTCGGCGTTTTGGATGGTGGACAGACGGTGGGCCACGATGATGGACGTTCTGCCTTTGCTGGCCTGGTCCAGTGCCTCCTGCACCACCTGATCAGACAGAAGCATGTGTCAAGTTAAATATTGGTCCACTAGGTGGCAGCAATGAAAACTTTTTGAAAATCTCAATGGAAAATGTTTTATCTGAGACCATATTTATGTTTTATCCGTTCACTCACCTGAGGGACCAGTGTTAACAAAGTGCACCACCTGCAGGACAGACAGAAAACACATGAGGGCCAGAGACTCACCTTCTCACTCTCAGTGTCCAGGGCCGAGGTGGCCTCGTCCAGCAGCAGCAACTTAGGGTTCCGCAAAATGGCTCGTGCTATGGCCACTCGCTGCTTCTGCCCACCAGAGAGCTGTGTTCCCTTGTCACCTGCCTGAGTGTTGTACTGCTGCTCATGCAGCCGCAGACACAAAGACAAAACAATCCATTTGTCACTGTTGAAGAAACCAGTGTGCTACAACACACACTGCTACAAAGTAACACTAGGACAAAGTAATAATAAATCAGCGATTTACCATCACTGAAAAGATCTTGAGTTTTGTAGTTGTACCTACGTTTAACACAAGGGGGAGCCAGCAATTTTTAAAAAAGAATTCCAGTCTCAGGGGTTTAGAAAACTCCTGATGATGACTTCGATCTAAGCTTATTGTTTTGTACTTCATAAATGTTTCTTCAGTTAAAAATGTTGTTGTTGATACTAATTACTTACTAAAATGTATATATACATCTGTGTAGGTATAAAATATAAATGGTCAAAACAGTACATGTCTCTGTGTAAGCGAGTGTCGGGCAGATAAATGAAATGCAACCAGCAATAATTCTGTGTCACTGGGATACATTTAGATGTCGCAGCTTCTGTCATGTCTCCTTATCTCTGCCTGATAGTCACCCACCACGTGGTAAAGATAAGAGTTCCATAAAGAAAAAGGAGTGAATAAAAACGTGACGTTGTTTATTCTTTAACTTTGTCGTGACTAGGAATTCAGAATAGGACCTGACTGAAACACCAGGAGGTTCCTGTGTGTGTCGTTCACCTGTGGCAGCTGCACGATGAAGTTGTGAATGTTGGCTGCCTTTGCTGCCGCCTCGATCTCCTCCATGGTCACAGTGCGGCTGTTGTCGCCGTAGGCAATGTTTTCTGCTAGAGAGCAGTCAAACAGCACAGGCTCCTGGGACACGATGCCTATCTGGGATCGCAACCAACCGATGTGCAGTTTCTTGATGTCTACACCATCCATCACCTGGATGACAAGAGACATCGTAACATGTAACAAACTCCAGGGGGACAATTCACACGTACAAGGTCTGCTGTATTGCAGAAGCAGTGGCGAAAAAGAATTAAAAAGCAGTGAGTGCTATTTTAAAAAATGTATTCAGTATCAATATAACTTATGCAACGAGAATATATTGTGTGGGAAAACATAAAAAAATGAGCTAAATCTAATTAATAATCAAATAAAAAGAGAGGAAATTATTTAATTTTGGTCAGTTGGGAGAACGTTCTGACTTTTCATCTAGTCTCACAGTATTTAATGCAACAACAACTGATGATGAACAGAGACAGTAACGGAGTCATAACCATTGCCTTCAGTTAACCATTAACTGAATGACTGTAGGTGAGGAGGCATCTTCTTACCACTCGCCCCTCTTTGGGGTCATAAAATCTCTCAATCAGCTGTATGACTGTGCTCTTCCCACAGCCACTGCTGCCCACCAAGGCCAGTGACTGACCCTTCTTCACCTCCAGATCCAGCCCTCTGAGGATGGGCACATCTGGTCTTGAGGGGTAATTGAACTCAATGTTTTTGAAGTGAATCTCTCCGTCAAGCTTTTCCTGGAGTTTAAGGAGAGGAAACGGGAACAGATGGTATCACGTGCGTTAAAGGCAGTGTTGTCCGTGTCCGTGTGTAAGTGACGTACCAGTGCTTCTCCTTCCTCTGAAAGGTTATCTATGGCAGGCTTCAGGTTTATCAACATCAGGAGGTGAGAGGCCGACACTTTGGCCTTGGCATAGTTTGGAGCGAAAGCATTGGCCTCACCAATAGCCATGGCGCCGAACATCACCGCTGAAATCACACTGGTGGAGGAAACCAAACAATGAACGACAGGAGCTCGGCCTTTCTTTGACATTGAAAGGATTAAATAACAGTGACTCTGTCAAATAAATGCAGCGTTCGTGTTATTTGAAGTGCAATTTAAAATAGTTTTTAATTTTTATGGAATATAAAAAGATTACGACATGTATTACTTCTTTCAACCTTTGGTCCAAACAGGAAGACGACTCACATGCTCTGAGTCATGTACCTAAAAATAGTTGGACAATTGTTTACGTTTTTGCTGATGAATACTGCATATGACACTTTGTGGTCAAATCATTTTATTTGGCAAAAAATGTTGTGTTTTTCACTTCTCTCAGAGAGCGTATGGAGGAGTGCAAAGAATGGTGGGGAAAAAAAAACAATCTAAGCGTTCTGACCTTTAAGATTAGGGTCACTTATTTCCGAGTGAGTGAGCGAGTTCTGTGTGAGAACATTTTTGTTATTTTATGTAATTAAAGTGTATTTATCTTTCATCTATAATACATTTCTGTGTGTACATGTAAAAGTTAAATAAAAAATGAGTATTTAATTTGAGAGTTTGGACAAAATATGAGTTCAAAATATGTTCTACCCTATAAAATGTCTCATTTATGCACAGACATCAAAGGTGTTTGATACATACTGTAAACAAAGGAGTGCCAGTATTGCACCTCAAACTAGCAATGTGTTATCTCTTTATGGCTGGTCAGAGATGAACTCTGGTCTTTGTGTAAAGGTTTATGTGAAGAATGACAAGTGACTCCTCTGAGCCATGTCAGTGAATTACATCAGCAATTATAAAACCTATGTGCACACTACACAAAGGAGTTAACCGTGCACGTGCTTCTGTTCAAGTCAATGATTATAGAAAAACCAGTCCTGTCACTGCCAGTGGTGTTAATACGCCCGTGTGCACCTGTGCAGTTTGTTGAAACACCAGCTTGTACACACATCTTTTGTTCATTATATGTTTTGAGTTCAGTAGGAGAAAAGGCTCTGGACACTTACAGATAAACTCCTTCCACATTTACCCTTCCCTCCACAATCAACCAGGCTCCAAATCGGAAACACCCGGCGTAGGCAAAGTAGATCATTGCCTGAGAGAAGGAGAAAGTGAAGCCATAGATGTGGGCCTTTTTCTTGGCGTTCCTGGAGTAACAACAGATTAAAGATTAAGTTCAAGTCACATGACTGAAATCCACCTCTCAGGTCTGCTGCATGTCTGTTTAAAACACTGTCTTTCCTCTTACACGTATGGTACGTTAAGGTTTTCTTGATACAATGCCTCAAACTTCTGTTCTCGAGTGAGAGAGGCAACAGTGCGGATGTTGTCGATGGCCTCCGTGGCAATCTGTGGAAACACAAACACATCCACGGTGGCTGTTACCCCCAGCAGTGTTTGTGCTCTGACAGGAAACCCTTTAGTGAAACAGAGCCCTTGCCTTCCCAGCCTTCTCCAGCTCCTTCTTGTCTTCCGCAGCGTGTCCACTGATCATCTGGACGCCTGCGGCTCCGGCCACCACCATTATGGGCACCACGGCCAGGACGAGCAGCGTCAGCTCCCAGCTGTAGATAAAACCGATGATCACACTGGTGCCCAGGTTACTAACATTCTGGGCCAGTGTGGCCAGACGAGCTCCTGTGGCCTGAGCAGAAACACAAAGAGAGAAAGTGGGTGACGCTCTGTGGGAAACAGGATTCTTATGCAGTTTCGTGGCAGCTGTTCGACTCACCCCCTGTACTTGGGCAGCATCTGTGGCCAGTCTGGTAGTGAGAGCGCCCACACTGTTCTTTTGGTTGTCATACCAGCCAAGGTCCTTCAAAACAACAACATCAACAACATCAACAGAAAAGAACAGATACTGGCCTGTATATGGGCCTCTGGTTTACCATGTGTTGTATTCAGCAGCTAATATCTGGTATCCAAAATGACAACAGGCTAAACAAAGTTATTGAACAGAACATTAGGCCATGGAGTGAAAGTTCTGTTGCCCCCATCATCTGGGCATCAAATGTGGGCCACCAAAAGTTTTTATACACTGTATCTGAGCAAGACCAGTTGACTCTGTGGAATATGGATGACAAGTATGTCTATGATACATAGGCTGATATGACATTTTGTGATATACTGCAATGCTATGAGTTTTTTTAAAAACAATTGTAGGAAACTGTCTTTATGGTAAACACACAATGCTGTTCTATTCTTAACAGCAGGTTACTAAAGTTGGAACAGAGGGACCTGGTGTATATTTGTAAGAACTACAGAAGAAATAAAAGCAAAATGAACCAATGCCGTGAATATTTGCATCATGTTATTGTCAGTAAAAAAAAAAAATACAGTACTACTGTAAAACAAAATATCAGTGCATCAATATTTTCTTACACCTCATAAAAAAAAAATACAGTACTACTGTTAAACAAAATATTGCAATATTTCAGTGCATCAATATTTTCTTACACCTCTAGTAACGAGAAAATATGGTATTATATATGTATCATATCATAGACATTAGTCACTGAGATACTGGAGTACTCCAGTTAGCTGCAGGCGTTTTGTTCCAGGTTTCTTCAGCTCACCTGTCTCATCATGGCCTTGAAAGCCTGCAGTCTCAGTTTGAGGGTAAGAATCTCTCCAGATTTACCAAAACAGAAGCCCTGGACATACATCACAGAAGGAAACCAGTGTTAAAGTCATTCATTTAGATGGATTATAATCCTACATCCATCACCCTAACACAACAAACTGCCCGTGTGTTTTATGTTCTGACAGGTAGACGTATGAGCAGACACACCTGCAGGAATAAGGTGACAAACGACACGGCTCCTAATGCGAAAAACATGAGAGAAAAGACGTGGCCCTTTCCCTCACGATGTCTTTATCGTGCTCTTGAAACACCTGAAGTGATTGAAAACACAGGTCAACAGTTGAAGGCTGACTTTTTATGCTGCACACTTGCCAATAAAAGTGGACCTACTGTGATGATCTTAGAGAACAATATAGCAAACATCGGTTGACTGGCGCCGTTGATGATGGCACAGAAGATTCCCAGCATGATGTACGGCCACTCTGAACGGTTGAGGTCTAAGACTTTGAGGAAGGGGGCAGAGGGGGGATTCTGGAAAACACAAAGGGAACAGAGGTGACAAACCTGTTTTGAACTTTTTCTAGAGAATTTTAGAAACATGAACATGGGATACTCCAGCTCACCTCTTCTGTTGTATCCTTGTCATTCTTTTCTGTCTGTTCCTTCTTGCCTACTGAGGCAGCGGCGGAGGAGCCTCTCCTTAACTTCCTCCGAAATGATAAGGACCCATGACTGCACAAAGGACTCTTCGGATCTTCTAAATCCTCCTCCTCATCATCTTCTTCGTCGTCGTCATCCTCCTCCCCGACTTTGCGAAAAGTCTGCAGGTTTGACATAGTAACACAACCATGGAGCGGTTGTTATAGGATGGATTTATGTCAAGCTGTTCTCTCTGTTTTTAGTGAGTATTTCTTACCTGTGTTGTGACTAGTGAATGATAAATTCCTTTTTTTTCCATCAGTTTGCTGTGACTGCCCACTTCTTTAACGGTACCATTCTGGAAGCCAGCAATGACGTCAACGTTTCTGATGGTAGACAGTCGATGTGCAACAACTATAGTGGTGCGACCAAGTCGGACCTACAAGCAGAGACATGGTCTTTAGTAACTAATATTTCTCCATGTCTACGACTATTGTGGATCTTGAAGAGTAAACTCAGACAGTGGAAAAACTGCAGACCTGTCTGTGGGGGAAATTTATACATTTGGAAATTGTAGGTTCTTAACCTTTTTGACCCTGAATCTTAACTTTGCGTTTGCCCAAGGCCCGTTTAAATATTAATACTGTATTGTTTTGATTTCACTCTTGGCTTGATTTGTATAACCACCACTAAGAATTATTGAAACTAAGTTACTCATTGATAACAGAAATATCTCCAGTGCAGGGCAGTCAAGGGGCCAAAAATTTAAAACACAAACAATTTAAAAAGTTGGGAGCTGAACAGGATTATCATTTATTATTACTATATATATATATATATATATATACAATACAAATACAATGAATACAATGAATTGGCTGCTGCTGTGGTGAATGTTTCCTTCTGCAATTGCTTGGAAAACATCTCCTGAGCCTCACAGTATAGTATCATAAACAACTACTCATTTGTGGCACAGTCTTATAGATAATAACTAGATTTAAATGTTTAGATGTATTTCACACATTATTCCCTGTGATCCTGTGATTGTGTCAGTACCTTGTCCAGTGCAGCCTGCACGATGGTCTCACTCTCAGCGTCAAGAGCTGACGTGGCTTCGTCCAGCAGAAGAATTTTGGGGTTACGGACCAGAGCTCTCGCAATGGCAATCCTCTGCTTCTGTCCACCGCTGAGCTGAGTCCCTCTCTCACCGACCAGCGTTTCAAATTTCTGTTTAAACAGTGGAAGTGTCAGTGTTGGAAGTTGCCATGTCGCCTTAGTGGTTAATAAAGACAAGAACAGAGACACCTCTGACCTGAGGAAGGTTCATGATGAAGTCGTACGCGTTAGCCTCCTTGGTGGCTTGTTCAATCTCTTGTTGCGTCACGTTGAGTCGTCCGTATCTGATGTTCTCAGAAATAGTGGTGGCAAAGAGGATGGGCTCCTGACTTACCACTCCAATCATCTCCCTCAGGTAGCGGATGTTGAGGGAGCGAATGTCGTGGCCGTCAATTAACACCTAAACGTGAGAGGAACAGACACGGAGGATTCATTTACACCACATGAAGGACTGTATGTCACAAACACAGCATGGATTTACAGTCTTTTAACTTCTTTTCTACTTTTAACTACAGATAGTCCATGGACTTACAGTCTTAACTTTTAATTTCTTTTCTACTTTTAACTACAGATAGTGACATCAGGGGAAAGGCCATTTAGTTCATACATTATTCATACTCCTATCTGATAATATGGCTCCACCTGTCCACTGGTTATACAAACACAGTAGCACCATCATCTACCTGTAAAGGCTAAATACACACAACACATCTTGCTTCAATACAAATCCCACCGGTCAGACGGTCAAACACGTAGCTGATAAAGTCTATAACCAAGTTGCATTGTGGGTAAAATTCTAGGAATAGGAGTTGTTGCTGCTGCACCCATTTCAATCAGATTTATATACTCTCAGCTGACGTTAGTCCTTGCTAACGTTTTCCTACAGATACAGAGCCCATTCACAGACAGAGTGTTACTTCAGACTCCCGCAGCTTTATGTAAATCAGATGAGGTCATGAACCCAGCTTTCACTCACAGTGCCTTCCTGAGGGTCGTAGAACCTCTGAAGCAGCTGGACGGTGGTGCTTTTACCACAGCCACTGCTGCCCACTAAGGCGATGGTCTGTCCACTACTGACACTCAGAGACATGTTTTCTAGGATCTGCAAATGAACACAGCATTAGTTAACAAGCACGGTGTGATGTTGTATCGTATCTGTGGCCATCTGTGAAGGACGTACTTTGACATCTGGTCTGGAGGGGTAGGTAAAGTGAATGTTCTTGAACTCTATATTTCCTTGGATGTGGTCTGGCTTGTAGCCCGCCTCCGAAAAGCTGTCAATGCATGGTTTCTGTAGAGAGATAAAGAGTTAAAAATGTTTTCCCAAAAAAACAGATTTCACTCTGTTTTGGCTGTGTAAATAGGAATGCAGTGGAATAACTGGATTCATGTTTATTCCTTAAGGGGACAATGGGAGGAAGACTGTTGCTTTTCCAGAGCGCTCATTGAACAAGGCAGATGTTTATTGACACAGCTCCCTGTTTTTGTTCACCGTTTCATGTAACCCTGAAAACAGTTTTCTCACTGTTTTGGTTATAACCCGAGCTGAAGGGAAACCTGGGCGCAACAGGAAAGAGAGAGACTGCCCAGTCCTGACTTCACAGACACCAAGAGCTGCAACAATGAGACGATTTAAAAAAAAAAAAAAAAAGTACCTTTCATTAAAGGTCACACACCATACCATAAACAACCACACTCACCTACAGCCCAATCAATACTGACGTACAGGAAAGGGGAAATCCACAGACCAAAAAAAAAAAAAAGATTACCTTTCTACTCTCTCACCAACATCCTGTTGATGTGGCTTCTACCCCATAAACTGTTTAATTACCTCCTAATGTAGCTAAAAAAGTGAGTGTCGCAAAGAAAGTGCTGGTAGACAATGAGCACAATTTTAATTTAAAAAATAATAATATAATTAAAAAGTATGTAATAGTTACCATATACTGTAAGAATTATATTATATATATATGCTGTACATAATACTTGGCAGACTCAGCATGGTCATTTGAATAGTAACTCCCGAGCCAAAAAAGTGTGAACAGAATACAACAATCTGCCTCCTCTCAACAATACTTATCACTGACACAGAGGAGAGAATCATAAAAACAGGATCCATCCGGTACTGAACTACCTGGTCAATGTATTTTACAAGTCACAGTGTAAGAGCATGCAATATGGCCTGGCTGTAAACTGATTTTTTGTAGTGTGCTGCAGGTGAGACGTGAAAGTGACAAAAGGTCAGTGACTCACACCTCTGCAATGTGAGTCAGTCAGTCAGTCAGTCCAGTAATCTGTAAACTAAATATATACGGGCACACCAGGTGACACAACAAGAGTCAACACCTCAGCGCTGAAGTATCAAACCACAAACTGAAGAGTGTTTGGAAGTTCAAACATTAAAGACATCGACCCTGTCCTGTAAGAAATGGAACTCCCTCCAAACAGCAACCCCTCTTTTTTCTCTCTCTCTTATCTTTTCATCTTCCTCACCTCTATTTTTTCTTTGTTCTTCATCCCTAACAAGTTTATCTAAAGAACTGTTTTCATTTACATTTACTTCACTCTTTTTTGTTTCAGATAGAAAACCAAACAAAAAAAAATCATACTTTTTTCATACTTGTACATAATGAGATGTGCATTGCTTTTTATACATATATATTCAATATTATTGTGTGTTGCAATACTTTTGTTGCATATCATCTGTTTTATATTTAAACACAAAAATTATAATTATTTTGATTTCCTTACATTGTCAATGATACTGTACACTTTATGTGCTGCTCCTCGAGCACTGGAAAAACTCTGGATGTTGGCAGAGGACTGTCCAATCCCAAATGCTCCAAAAACCACAACGAAAAAAACCTGAAAGACACACAATATCACAAGGCTGACAGAGGAAGTCTTTTTTTTTTCTTTCTACGTCACTAACAAGGAATATCTTGATGGATATTCAGAGATAGACATCTAATGTGTCTACGTATCTACTCACAGTGAGTACACTCCCAATGGTGTATTCCCCACTGAGGATGAGTGTGGAACCATACCAGAAACCCAGGGCATAGGAAGAGTAGATGATGAAGAAGGTGAAGCCCATGGCAATGTTGGCAGAGATGGCTTTCTTAATCCCCATAGCCTTTGCATCTTCCAAGTGTTTTTCATATCTGTAGTGCAACATGAAAAATGTATAAAAACCTACTCACCACTTAAATAAGACTCACATCAACGTGAACTTTTCCGAAACTAATTCTTCACCAAAGGTAAAATATTAATACAAATTAAAAACATTTGGAAATCACAGAGTTGTCTACACACCTGGTAATCTCTCTCTTTTGACCGCTGAATGCAAACACTGTCCTGATTGCAGAGAGCACCTCCTCTGCCACAGCTCCTGCTTTGGCGTAAGCGCCCTGCTCTTTACTGGTGAATGTTGTGAGCACCTGCCCAGACAAGATGCACATTTACATTCACAATAGTCTATTGTTGATCAAGATTTATTCATAGAAATATGCTGAAAAAAACCCCCACTGGACTCACCTTACTGTAAAGTGCTGCTGAAATGCCCAGTACTGGACTGAAGGCCATGATGACCAGGGTGAGCTTCCAGCCTTTAGCAAAGCCAATGATGAAGGAGGCAAAGAAGGTGCTGAGTTGTTGGATCAGCATTCCCAGCTTGTCTCCAATTCCCTCTTGGATCTTATAGACATCACTAACAAATGAAAAGGGAGTCACGAATGACTTCTAAACCATCACAACATTTATGTCAATAAAGTCAAATTTATCATTATTTTATCGGTGTTGTTAGAATCTGATTACAGGATATAGGTGAAATATCAAAAAATAATATGTGACAGAAGTTTATTAATGTTGAGATTTGAGCATTAAAAAAACAATAGTATTATGTCATGATACGGTGTTCAATCTTATGTCACAGTGGGCACTTCTCCAGCCTTACAGCAAGTTGATCACCAGTTCAAGCCCTGGATCTTTTTTCTTTTTAATAACATTGAAAAGGTAAGCTTCCAAAATAAAGACACTGGTTTTAGAAACTCTATAGTTTTGTATAAAAGCACCTGGTAATACATTTGAATTAAAATAAACATTTTAACAAGTCCTGACTGAAACACAAACTATTGTTTTACACTAAGACTTACTCCATGAGCCGTGTGTTGAGCTCTCCTGTTTCGTTGACGTCGAACCAACCTATTTCCTGCTGCATAATTTTGTGGAAAAACAGCTTGCGTATGTGTTTGACCTGTCGCCCAGCGGATATAGTCCACAGGGAAACCTGCAGGTATCCTGCAACCATCGTGCCAACTCCCATGATGGAGTAGTAGATGGCATACCTAGAGGAAAGATTTGTTGTGACAAATTCATTTGGTAAGGCAGAGGAAAGTTTAATAGGAATTAATTAATCCCTAATACCCTGAACTCCCAGACCTCAAACATAATCTCCTGAAGGTAAACCTAACACTCAGGTTAGGACAAGTACAGGGATTTAGCTTTTGTAACGTTACATGTAAATTCCTTATTTTCTTATGTAAAGAACGTATTAAAATCCCACTGGAGACTGTAGAGCCGTTTGCGTTTGAGCCTCTTAGCCGATAGCATAAATATCATGTCAGCATGTCGCATGTTTTGTTAAATGCTGATGTTAATAAGAGGAAAAAATTATAATAAAACAATCCAGTATATAAAACACCAGATAAGGAACATTTCAAACACATACATGTGGCAGTGGTGGCTGGTAAACCAGGCACATACTCACTCAGTCATTTGCTCCTGTAGAGTGATGTTAACCTGTATGTCTGTGAAGTCTGATAAGACACATTAAAAGAAAACAATGTTAAAATAAAATCACCCATCGAGTCATTTCAAATATGATGTACGCCTGAGGCTGTAAAAGATAACTCACTAAGTTCTGGAGAAGATGATCCATGGCCTATGAAGCTGTCTGTCATGTCTCCATACACGAGGAAGAGAAGGGGAAGCATGACACCGTTGACCATAGCCATCAGTAGCCCAGCAATCAGCATTAAAATGTCCCACTTGTCAGCAAATCTGAACTATACACATACAATAATGACAGTGTAGAAAGAAAGAATAGTAAAAAAAAAAAAAAAGACATTTTTGCCTTCAACATAGTTTCTTCTGTTAGTGCTTGAATCAGGTTCATGTACAGTGTGTCCATGTTACTGTAGGTAAATCTACATTTATGACTGATTTTATTTCCAGAGCTGTCCCCTGCTGACAGACACAGGCATGCTCTTCAGAGTTTACTTTTTTTTTACAGTGATTTTGACACAGCAAATTCATTAGGTACTAAGATTAGATGCTGCATTTGATGTGCGAAGCAGAACAGGAAGAGACTTTTAACTCCACCGTATTATGTCCACACAGTAGGGGACAGGTGGAGTCCAAACAAAACGACCACAGGATGTTCTCATACCGAAATAGTTAGATAGTAAAAAATAATAGTTTAAAAGTAATAAAGGTAAAATAATGTACGATAAAAACAAGACCTTAGATGCAAGTGAAAAATACAAATATTAAAATAAAAGATGTCAGAATGACCATAAACTATGTGGGTTTTTTTAATAAATGCAGCAAAAAGGTGGGTTTTGTGGAAAACGTAATGGAAATCTTTGTGTTTAAAAAAAACTATAGTTTGAGCATTTTTCAGGTTTTGAAAAAAAAAACCCACCACAGCAAAAATACATTTAATATTACCTTTAAATCCTAAGGTATACAGTTTTAGGTTTTACAGTGAGAGGTCAGAGTTCAAAGATAACTTACCACTGTGATGGGACCAACCATGGGCAACTTTGGCTCTTTTTCTTTATTCTTCTTCTTTTTCTTCTTCCCATTCTTTTTGTCATATCTGTCTTCACTGAGGGAAAAACAAATAAAAACACCTATTGTAATTTGTTTTGTTTTGTTTTTTGTTTTACTGTAAAATTATTTTAAGACATTGTGTCTACTAGGAAATGTTATTGTGTCATTTTCTCCAACAAACAGTGATTTAAAGTCTAACTTGGCTTATTAGAATTTGTTTAAAAAGGCTGAGAATGCTTTCACCACTAGCAAGTACTCAAAGAGACATATGTTTAAGGCAATAACTCTTTTACCCATTTTACCTAAGTACTCAAGTACTCAAAGAGACATATGTTCAAGGCAATAACTCTTTTACCCATTTTACTTTTGTATTTTTTTTTTAAATTAACACAATAAATACCTAAATACTTGCATCTAATTTGTATAAATCCGCATTATTTCAATGTGTTTTGTAATTTGGTGTATGGGAAAAATAGATGTTTTTATATACTGAAAATAGCAGTCAATAATTAAAGATATTAATCAAATGTAAATGTAAACACATACATCTACAGGAATATTTTCAAATCAAATTCAGTTGTCTCTTCGGTGTTGCACATTTAATCAACTACAAAGTTACATTTTTGTATTACTAATAATTAGGAAAACAGAATAAAGAGTGACTTTACCTTAAAGGCTCATTTTTCTCTGGTAAACCCTGTGTGAACTGTATATTCTCCTCTTTACTGTCCATGTCTGTGTCCCGTGGTGAACAGCCTTGTTTAGATTCCACTGTGTTATCCAAACAAATGATATAAACTATCTTTTCTTAACGTTTGCCTTCTGCTACCCTGAGAACGAGAGAAAAGGCACAAGGGTAAATATAACCACTACCATCTGCTGTAGAACAGAACAGAACTGGAAGTGGGAAGACTGTCTAGATCTTACTGTAGATCTGACAGAGTCAGGAGCACAGCTCTGGACTCTCCCGTCTCTCCTCCTGCTCCTCCTCCTCAGGCTTTACAATATAGCAGCATCATCACAACTTCCGCCCTCAGAAACAATGGCTGTTGCTCGAAATCTCTCTCTCTCACTCTCTCTGTCTCTCAGACTCTCCCTCTCTAACTCAGTTACACAATTTACCTTCTTGGCTCTCAGTCATGGATGGACAAGGTTTATTAATAGGTGACTGATTACATTGTCAAAACATGAATGGGTGGAGCTCAGCCTACAGTAGGTGTGTGTTCATGAGGCCAGTGTAGTGGGGTTGAAAACCCCATTTCCCCTTACAGCTGGTCTGCGACTGTACAGCTTCACATAATTCTGTTGTTTATACTTGATTCCAGTCACATGATGAGCATGGAAATACTGAAGTGAGATCTATGGTTTAATCCTGCATTTATGATAAAATTCAACTTAGCTTAAAGCCAATTATTAAAAATAATAAAATAAAATAATTGCTTTATTATAAACTATTATTTATTAAACTATGATTTTTTAAAGTTTTTTAATCTATCTACAAAACTGAATAGAAAGTGTAGATGCCGGTAGGCGGGAGCAGATTTGACAAGTGACAGCTAGCCCTAGTTGACCTGAGTACTGTTATATTTTTGTCTTATATACCTTCCATCCAGTCCTGAATATCTAATATCCTAGAAACACTCACCAATACTGTTGTTAAAACCCTACACAGAAATTGAGCGGAATGGATCAAAAATTAAAAAAAAAAAAAAAAGAACTGCAGTACGTTGAGATTCAGGAGTCAAGGCGATGAATACAAAAGCTTATAATTAAGTCAAATTAACTAAGACTAAACTAAGATTAATGACCAAAACATGTATATAATGTAGTGTTGTTTGTGCTTGGGAAAACTTAATACATCGTTATAATGATGTAAATAGTTCCTATTTTACTTAAAACTGTCAAATATACCTGAGTATGTGAGTAAGGTCACTCACGATTTACGGTAGAATTCGGCGTCGTAATTGTTTCCAGGAGAATCGAGTTTTTCCGGAACTCCTCATTACAGGCTTTAAGGATTTAGCTAATGTTTATTGGTAAAATGTTTTACTTTGAATTTTCTGTTCAGTATGTAAATGGAGAGCCGTTTGAAACAAAATGTAACTGTTTTTCAAACGAGCAAAAGTCAACACCTGGCGGTCATCGGTTGAGATGCATTTAAGTAATATTTCCGGTTTCGAAATTAAAATAGGTTGATAAAATGCTAGACAAAAAACATTTTGGTCTACCATTACATAAACCATAGTTTATTTATTAGAGCTTTACTGAACGTTGATATTTAAACGGCTACGCGTATACTGTAATATGTAATATCTTAAGGTAGTTGGGAGTCTTTGTTGACGCTTAACAAAGCTTTTACTTTGAAAGTTTCAACAGGAAACGGTTAAGCTTTTATTTTGAACGTTTTAACAGGAAACTGCTAAGCTATTATTTTGAACGTTTCAACAGGAAATGTTCAAGACACTTACTCACCATTGTGGTCTTGACAAATGTTGGAATCTAATAATAACCCCTCCTTCCACCAACCAGGCAGCGGCGTGTTCTCCTCCAGGGAGACGGAGATAGCAGGTGCTTGCACAGGCAGCGAACCGAGCGCTGCCTCCGGCCGCCATCCAAGCAGAGTAGCTGGGAATGGCGTCTCTGGGCTCGGGTGTTTATGTGATGAGAACGCGGGGATCAGGCAGGAGCACAGCTGTGGAGAGGAGGAACCTGCTGACGGTGTGCAGGTGGGGCTTTCTTAAGGATGAAACAGCCTCCGCTGCTGCCTGTCATGGCATTTTTAAATACATCATTCCAGATGCGTGTCGTGGTCTGAGGTTATGGTCGTTTCCACTCCACCTTTAAAGCGTTTACGTATTGAATTGAAGTTGTAAAACTGTCGCCTGAATTAGTTATAGTAGGGAACGAGGGAGGCATTCAATTAATTTATAGAAAATCACGGAAACGTGTCATCCTTTCTTCAAAAAAAAAAAAAAAAAGAAAAGAAAATCAGGGCCCGAAGCACAAAAAACTGGGGTTCGTAGAAGTGCATCAGCTTTTGCGTTGACACTGACCTGGTTCTGGTTAAATGTTTTACGTATGGTCGCGTTGACCAATGGCAGTTCTCTGCGGTACTTCAAAGGGTTGAGCTCAGACTGCATTTGCATGGTTTGCAGTCAATCCTTCATTTTTATGGGGGATAAAAGAATTTAAAAAATGTTGTGTTTCGTTTATGGCTCAACATTCAACGCTGCAAGCTCTGTTTCCTTGAGAAAAAATTCTGGGTAAAATCTCTGACTCCACAGCACAAAGACTGAACTCCAACTCCTTACAAATTTGAGCTAAAGAGTAGTTGGAGAAAGGAAGGCTTTTTCAAACTCAGAACAGAAATTGACCAAAGTCATGACAGGAGTGGAATTTGAACCCACGCCTCTTTTAGGAGAACAGAAAATCTCAATCTCCTGGAGTCTGGGCCTTAGATTCAGGCTCAGGCATCCTGACATCTGTGATCGAATCCCTTAGTTTTGTCTGTTTTTTTTCTCTGTTCTTGTGTGCGATTTATGCCAAGTCATTGTGTCTGTGTGTGTATTTCTGGTTATGAGTCTGTGATGCAAAAGTTGTTTTCCTTCAAATACTGCAAATTGTTGACAACGTTTCCACGGTGGTTAACGTGGCTGTGACGCAGTGACAATCCGTTTTATTGAATCTCCACGGTGGTGTGTGACATGGACGACGGTGGTGTGTGACATGGACGACGGTGCTGGAGTGGATCTGTTCCCTGCAGCGACACCAGTGACGTCCAGGCCCTGACTTCATTACCTCTAAAGTTTCACTGTCCTTGTGTCCAGGTTTTCGGTGAAGACTCTGCTCGACCGCTGCTGTTTCGAGATGATTGATGAATCCTCTCCCGATTTCACCAACTTTGTTTCCATCCTGGAGCACATTTTCAATCATCGACTCAAAGGTAGCTGGGCTGATCTGGGCTCAGTGTTAGTTTTCTGTCATTATTTGATGGTTGATCACAGACCTAGACGGGGATCGTGGGATAGAGTGAGGTCAGAGGAAGGCGGCCAGATGATGTGATAACTGTTCCCAGGAGGAAATCAGAAGTTGATGTTGTGGCTGAGTGAGCCACAAAATGACAAACAGAAGCTCATACTTCACATCTGACGTTTAGATAATGGGCTGTGAGAAATGAACAGCAGTGTATATTTATATTATATTTAAAATCACTTTACAAATTACAACAAAGACTGGATTTCTGTGTTTTTAATTCATTTACCCTCACCGTGCCTTTTCACACATATAACAGTCATTTCTTCCGTCTCCTCCTTCCAGGTCAGACCACCTGGTTTGGATATGAGAGTTCTCGCTGTTTCTGGGATTACATTAGAACAGCCTGCAGTAAAGTCCCTCACAACTGCATCCGCAGCATCGAGAGCATGGAAAACGTGCGTTCGTCCAGAGCTAAGGTGAGACTTCACCCCGTCATCGGCCTCCAATTGGACCGACTTGGTTCAGGAAGAGTTGAACTCACTCACACAAAGCAAAATCTGCCACACGTACGCCCACAGCACCCTGACTGAGATATGATTTACTGTCAGCTTTGTTAATAACCTCTATCCACTGCTTGTCCACTACTTCTGTGCTCCATCGTTTTAGTAAAGGTGAGTAACGAACGTTGGAGCATGTTCTGTAAACAGCAAAAAGAACCAACGGTGAGTAAAGAACGTTGGAGCATGTTCTGTAAACAGCCTCTCAGTTCATGAACTTTTGAAATCAGCAGCTCTGCATCTAAAACAGGAACTGGTTGTGAAATGATGACCTCTACTTTTAACCACAGGCGTCAAGTCACATGTTCCGTCACCGTCACTGAGTTTCTGCGGCTCATCAAACGGCCTGAACAAACTTTAAATCTTCAAGACATCAGTCATCAAAATAAAACCTGTAGTTCAGACGTCTGAAGAACAAATTGTTCTTTCTACTCACACGTATCTATTGGTACATGTTGGAGGGGGTGAGGGTGAGGGAGGGTGTGAGGGTGTGAGGGTGAGGGAGGGAGAGGTATGTCAACACCGTCACAACTATGATTACTGCTCTACCACCTTAGCCGAGTTCAGTCCCTCAATCTATGTTTTACGTCACCTGTAATGGAATTTTGAGCGTGTCAAACAGGTTTTCAGAACAGCCCAGAACAGGAGTTCGTTATCAAACAAAAATACTCTGTGACATCAGAGAGGTGTATGCCTAAAAGTTTTCAGTTACGGAATTCGAGCCTCTGGCTAATGATGTAATCTGTTTACTGTCTTTCTGTCCTGCAGGGCAGAGCGTGGATCAGAGTGGCACTGATGGAGAAGAGACTCTCGGAATACCTTTCATCTGCTCTGAGGGACTTAAAAACCACCAGGTCAGAATGGGATTTTTCACACATTCATAAATTTTTTTTTTTTTTTTTTTTAACATTTGAAATAATGGCTCAGACAAGTGGCGCTGTCTCACTCACTGTCCATCACTGGGTTATTGTACCCATTTTTATAACAATACTATAAAATATTTTTAGTAATTTTTTAATGGGGAAAATGCAGTCGTGTTCTGAGTGGTTGTGCTGTGATGTTTTAACCACAGGATGTCAGTGAACGCAGCATTTAACTTTTCTGGTTTGTGTTGAATGAAGGAGGTTTTATGAAGACAGCGCCATCATGCTGGGAGAGGAGGCGGGGCTGTTGGCGGACACACTGATTGGACTCAACACCATCGACTTCAGGTGCTACGCTAACGAAGTTCAGTTTCGTACTGGAAAGACACTACACTGTTAATGATGAGGAGAATTATTTCCCATGATCCAACTCTTCCCTCTTCCATTACATGGCCACATGGTTGTGGCTACAGATCTCTTTTCCAACCGTATCAAAACATTTGAAAAATACACATTAAACGTCATCATTGATGACATTCTTATTATTTTGATTTAATCTCTACTCTTGGAACACCTTGGAATAAAAATTTGAAAATAGAATAATAATATTAATAAAAAAAATATTACTGCAATCTGCACTAAACTGCGCTGTCATCTGTGTCCAGCTTCTGTCTGAAGGGGGAGGGTCTGGACAGCAGCTGCCCTGCAGTGATCGACTACACACCGTACCTGAAGTTCACTCAGAGGTATGTGGGCAAAAAAAAAAAAAAACTCATCATGATGAGAGGAATTACAGTTACCTGCCTCTGGGGCAGCAGATTTGTACGGAGACCTGATACATATTTACACGTTAACTTTGATTGAAAGTTGTTTTTGTTTTGTTTCCATATCATTTTTTAAATAAACTGTTCTGTTAATAAGCTGATGGTGCTGTGGACTGTCTCTGTCTCTGTGCAGTGCAGACAGCGTCAGCAGTGACGAGGAGGAGATGAGGACGCTGGGCAGCAGCGGCAGTGAGAGCAGCTCCCCCAACAAGACCGCCTCAGCCACCGCCGCCTCCATCTTCACCGAGCAGAGCAACTTGGTCAGCAAGTGCAAACGCTTCGAGCAGATGTATCGAACAGCACTGGAGCAGAAGGTACCGTTGGTGTTATTTATTGATGGCTGTATTTGATGAGAGTGTTCCTGTGGTCTTTTTATTTAATTACATTTAGTTTTATAATTTATTTTTATATTATTATATATTGTCATTTATTATATTTTATTAAAAAACGTTAAAAATCGTTTTACCATCGTAACAACTTTGGTCAGTGGTTCCCAAACTCTGGGGCGCGGGACTATTGAAGTGGCAGAAGGGGATGGGAGCAGGTCAAAATACTTTTTACATTTTTAATATTTGATTTCAATTTTGCCTTTTTGGATGAGACTTTTTGTATTTGTTTTAGGAATTACAATGTTTTTGAATAGAGTTCAGGGAAGTTTTGAAGCAACATCTGTGAATGTGTAAAGGAGAGGAAGATAATAGTTCTGTCTAAAAAAAAATCCCACCTCTTTCTTTAAATAATCCTGTTTAATTAAATATATGAGGTGAAATAAGTTTGTTTGAAGTAAAAGAAAAAAAAAAATTGTTTACAAATGGGTATTTAGTCACAGTAAGTTCTGGATTTAAGGAAAACAAAAAAACTCGTACTAAACAAACATGGTTGGGACGGGTGTGCGCTCCTCCTCCAGGGTTACCTGGAAGAACTGGTGCGTGCACGTGAAGCCCAGCTGTCAGAGGCCGTGTCGCACAACAAAGCTCTCCAGAAGAACCTCACAGACACACACCTGTCACACACACTGGAGAAGGAGCAGCTGGAGTTCATCATCCTGGAACTACGGGACCAGCTGTGAGTTTCCTGCTGCGTGTGTGTGTGTGTGTGTTTACTACTTGATTTAAATAAGATGTACAGTATTGTTATGAATCGTTATCACTGCCATCTACAGGACAATTCTAAAGAACAATGATCTACGGTCCAGACGGGAGTTGACGGCTCATCTGACCAATCAGTGGCCGTCTCCTGAGGCTTTGGACACCAACGCAGTCGCGCTGGACATACTGCTATACAGGAAGAGCAACGGACAGTGGGAGGAGTGTGTAGAAAAAACCTCTTTTGGTGTCTGTCATTCTTAAATATGAATATAATTATGGAATTATTCATGTGGAAAATAATGTCAAGAAAAACTAAAAACTTGAGTTTTGATTCTGTCCTTCTTAGCAGAAGTCACAGGTCAAACTTTTATTGTCTGCAGGAAGACGTTCCAGAGTCTGGAGCAGCTGTCCACGGACACCAGCCTGTCTCAAGCCTCCCTGGGACCACCGCACTCACTGGGTCCTGAGGGTCGGACCTTGAGCACACAGTGGCACCGTAAGGGTATAATACCAGTAGACGCTGCTGCGTAGAGGGTCTCTGGTCTGACTGAAGCACTAACCCGTCTGGTTGTCTGATTCAGATAAAGAAGAGACCCCGTCCCTCCGAGGTCTGTGCGGCTCCCTCACCTCTGTGGCCAGCTACAAGTCACTGGCCAGCCTCAGGTCCAACGAGTGTCTGGCCAGTCCTGCTACAGAACTCAGCAGCCCGGGGATCAGTCCTTCATGAGGGACGAGGGGCTTTTGAAGAAACGGCCAACACAGCCACTGACCGCCACTGACACAGCAGCTGTCGCCGTAGCTGAGGCTGAGAGTTTGGTTCTGCGTGTGAGGGCCAGAGGTTTTATCTGAGGAACGGTGGACGAGGCTACGACAGAGCAACGTTAAGAAGAGGTTAAACTGAGACCAGCTCTGTGTCTCTGTGTCTTATAAGAAGAGTTAAAACACACCGCTCAGTTCATGTAAATGTGAACATCGATTGTTGCCTAAATGTCTTTGTTCTGTGTACTTTGGCTAGCTTTTTGTTAGCTTTCCAGATCGTCAGATAGTAACTGTCAGCTGGTAGTGTTGATTTATGTGTCTCTGTACAGCAATGGCTCTAAGGGCCAAACATTTCTTTAGAATGCAAGAATGCAGGTTATGAATTTAACGTGCATTATGGGAAATGTAGTTTATGGTAAACCTACATTAACGTACGCTAGAATTGTGAATAACTTGCCATACATACAGTATGTTATACACAGTAAAGTTGTACTTTGCAGTAATTCATCTAGTAAACATTAGACTCTGTACCATAGAGTTTTATAAACCACACCAAGTTATGCTGTAATGGGCCACATAAAATGATGCACTGGGCCGGAATGGGCCCGCGGACCTTGAGTTTGACGTATGTGCTGTACAGTATAAATGACGCAGCATTGGGCTCATCTGTCTGGTCATTTTAAATTTAAGGACACAGTACAATTTTTTTTTTTTTTTTGCCAGTGATTACCCATGATTCCTTGATGGAGGAACTACATTTGGAGGAGAGTTCCTGTCAGTGTTTGTTGGTTTTCTGTCCTGTGCTGTTACTGGATTCTTTTTGTACTGACCTGGGTTAAAGTCTGTTGTCTCTTATGTGCGTTTTACATCTCGTCTGCCTCACATTTACCACCACTGATGTGTACATTAAGGAGAGTACTACTTACAGTCAGTGAAGTACCTCAGAGCGTAGGTCAGCCAGGTCGTTCCATCTGTTAAAGCAGTCCAGATGAGAAACACTTTTAAATTATTTTAAATCATTAATTTATTATTAATTGAAAACAAAGTAAAATATGAAACACACACACACACACATATATATACATATATAAACACAGTCAAACTATACATATACAACACATACTTTGTTTGTTTTGGTACTTGCCTGTTACCCCTCAGTCCTGCCATGGCCGGTGCTCAAACCAGCAACCCTTCGTACTGAGGCACAATCCTCTACCAATCAAACCACTGGGTTCAAACCAACAAAAAACACAAAATAATTCTATTTTACCAGTGCATTTTATTTATTAAGGTTTGATTGGAATGTCCATCATCTTCACAGCAGAGTCTAAAACTGAGAATCAAACCCAACAAAATAGACTTAAGAGCTGCAAATAATTTTCACAGTGACATAATACACACAGGTCTGAAAAAACTAAAGGATTGGAAACTACCACAAACCTAACAAGGAAGTCCAAGGTTGGAACATCCTGTCTGAGACTGTGACTTTGCATTGATCTGTGCTGAGTAAAAACAGAGTTAGAGCTTATTACTGCTGGGTCAGAATTACCTGCTGAAACAAAGAGCTAAAAGACAAATGAGTTTAAAAAAAAAAAAAAGGAAGTTGCTCCTGGAGCTCCTGTGTTTTTTTTTTTTCAAAGCTGAGACGTTGTGGCCAGAAGCAGCATCTGGTACAGGGAGCTGGAGAAGCTGTTGTACAGCGTGCAGGCGTCTGTGTGAGGACAGGACTTCCAGGCTGTGACAGACATCACGATCCTCCAGGAAAGACAGGAAGTGAGGGGTTAAAATAAAACTTTACATTTTGGCAAATTCAGTTCAACAACGTCATCACAGCTAAGAAACAAAAAGAAAACAGTGAAAATCTGAAGTTATATAAACCAGGTTAATTACGTAAAACGTGGACATTTCTTTTACCTGTCGTCTCTAATGCGATAGAAGAAGCCGTAGCCGTTGTGCACCATGGGAGCCACAGCTCCCAGTATGGTGGTGTAGCCCACCAGACTGGAGGACAGCACAAAGTTACCCCCACCACCGCTGTGTGACAAAAAACAAAAAAAACAAAAGTAAGGCTCGAGACCTGAAACGAGGCCACAGACACTGGAGACATTTCTTTCATCTCTTTAACTGTAGCATTGATTTAATTAGTCAGAAAAAGAAAACACTATAAATTCTTAAGCATCTGAACAAGAGCTTCAGTCTGGTCTCAGTTTGTTAAACTGTAATAAATCGTACAATGAAGAAAAACAGAAGAAGAAAAACATAAAGACTGGAAGTCAATAAAACAAACCAGTAATCTAAAGTAAAGTAGGTAACATCGGTACCTCCGTGTGTAGAGTGGATCAGTGTAGAGTTCTGGAACCGGACGTCCGTCTTCTTTGGCGGTGAGATACAAACCCAGGAGATGTCTGTCAAAACCTGAGGAGCAGGAAGAAAAAAAATGAACACTGTTACAATGTTTGGATATGTTTGAATTAAAAAGATAAATAAATCACCTTTTAAATAATGTTCATTTCTTATTTTATTTTTTTTTTCTGTTGTCTATGTGGTTGAATGAGGTACTGCAATACCAGGTACAAAAGCAGTTCCCTTTCCTGTGGCCATTCATGAGTTTAAATATTTGGTTATTTTCTGAATTAAAAAAATACTTTCAGGATTTAAACTCTAAGGTTTAATTTTCTTTCTATTTTTTTATGAACTTGCAGGACAAGACATTAACAGACGTTGGTTCCAGAATATGAAATCATTAGTGAATATGAATTAGCAGACACTGAAGTTGACATAATTTAAAGCTTGTCACTGTTTGTTGAAACTTTTTCATGATCTCAAAAGCCTGAAAACCTCCAGCCTTCCTGAAGTGTCTTTGGTTTAAAACTGCTTAAAATCCCACAGTGTGTGGTGTAAACTAACCATTTCCTTCCTGGGCTTCAGCCATCAGCTTGTTGTGTCGATCGAAGGCCAGCAGCATGGCTGTCCTCTTTGTGTTGTCCTAAAAGACAAAGTGTTGAGACAGCAGGTTAAATCAGCAAAGACTGATGCAGAGCAACTTTTTAAAAGCTTCTCAAGCAGTGGTTCTCAACTCTGTCAGACGCCGTCATCCACAATGACGAGCCGCGGACTGAAATGGAGGAGAATTTTCAGGTTCTTGAATCAAAAGATGATTCAGTTGGAACAACAGGATGAACCCGATGAACTAAAGACTTTCCGTGATGTCTTTCAGATCTTAAAGCAGTCGTCTTACGTGCTGTACTCTGAGGGTGTTTGTTTGGGAGAATGGTCGTCTGTTTCTAAATATCTCAACAGTTTTGGTGGCTTCATGCTTCCATAAAAAAAAAAAAAAAAAAAAAAAAAAAAAGAATTCTTTGATGTGAAATGTATCAACTCACATTACAGGAGTATTAGCACCACCTGCTGTTAAGAAGTGTGAACAGGACACCCCTACGACCAAAAGGCAAAAGACAAGCGACCCGCCGGTGTGGTCCACGACACACTTTTGGGCCGGCGCCCACCAGTTGAGAACCACGACTTTATGAGGATGACCACAGATTAAAACACTGACGTCACACTTTGGGTCCAACATGGTTTTACACCAGTCCACGGCCTCCTGGGTGCTGGGTCTCATGGTCTCAGTCCTGCCGTGGTAGAACTTGCGAGTCATTGCCGTCTCATAGCAACTTCCTGGTCTGAGGGAGGGAACGGAGAGACACGTTAGATGTTAACCAGGAGTTAACGAAGCAAAAATTATTTTCAATGCCACCATTTTTTTTTGACAAAGGCAACTAGATGAGGTAGATAAATATTTATTCAGATTCCGGGGTGAAACTCTGAGACCTACTGTTTGTACAGTCTGTAGTAGGCCAGCTGCATGGCCAGTTGGACGAAGGTGTCGGGATGGAGCTTCTTCTTCCTGATGGCAGCTTTTCCAAAGGCAGTGAAGGCGTAACAGAGAAGCTGCAGGTCCTGAGTCTGTGCAGACACACACGCACGCACACACACACACGTTATATTTTCAAACAAACAAAATCCAATGGAATGGAATCAGCTTTTCTAACTCACAGACTCCAGGTACTGTTTCTTGGCCAGGCTGATGTCCCTGCGGACTCGATCGTCCACGGTGAACTTTAACTCCTCAGGAAGACGCATGGGTCTGACTGTGTCCGAGCCCTGAGGTCAGAACACATCAGGGTTTTTAAAGATTCTACATCACTGAATCTGACGAAGGGGAAAGTCGAGCTAACTTTACCTGCCACTTTCCCTCTGCAGCTTTGATCTGCTGGTCAAGATACCAGGTCAAGGACACCAGGACCATGGCGTCGTATGGAGCGTGCTGCAAAACAATTCATACAATTTACAACTCATCTGCTCATCGTTTTTTTTTTTTCATTTTTAACCCTAACAATGAACACCAATGTTGCCTTAAAAGTGACTTTAATGTCACACAAGGCAACCAGTCCTATTTATTTATATTTTTTAATGATATAATATTCACTATTTTACCTGTTTCTAAACCTGGGAGGTAAGAAAAAAAAAATCAAACCATTTCAGAAAAAAGAAAAGGTTTGAAGAGTTCACTTTGTGCAGATTAAAGGACAAAAACAAAAGTCAGCTAATTTATAATTAATGATCTGTGTTTTAATACAGTCTTTGGGAATGGCACCACTATTATTAATTATTAATAATTATTAGTCATTAAGATTAGAGTGGTCCAGAATCACCAGCATCATCACTGGGTTTATCAGTAAAAAAAAGGTTCAAATACAAAAACTAATACTGGATTTTTATGGGGTAAAAAAAACCTGCAGATACACAGAGTAGACAGATTATGGGGTAAAAGAAACCTGCAGATACACAGAGTAGACAGAGGGTGGCACTAAACTTCACAATAACTCACATCACAGACGGAGCCAAATGTTCCATTGGAGAATGTGATTGTGTTGTAGGATTTATCCCCCCAGCGGTTGGTGGGGTCACCTGTAAGTGCTGCCAGTGTGACCTGGGAATTGAACCAACACACACACGTCAACGCAAGACAGAACTCAGAATAACAGAGTTGGAAGTGAAGAGAGAACCACAGCAGCAGCCTGTACATTGGTGTAGTTCTCTGGAGTGGAGTAGGGTTTGGACTCATCCAGAGTGATGATGAACAGGCTGCTCTGAATGGTCTCCAGGACGCTCTGGTTGTGCGGGTCGATGTTGATCAGGTGCTGCCTGGCCTGCACAGACAGAACGGTTAAAGGTCCATGTTTGGTTTTTTAATTCCATAATCAAATGTGAGGAGCCTCACGTTGGCCCAGCGAGTCCTCTCCTCTGAGGTCAGAGCAGCCACGCCCTCTCCGTCTGGTTCTCGCTCACAGCGTTCTCTCACGTAGCGCAGCTGCCTGTCGACATTAACACACATACACAAATAAAATAAGTACATAATATTAAGTCAGTGGTTCCAAAGTGGGGGGTGGGCCCCCATGAGGGACATGGTGTTATTGCAGGGGGGCCGTAGCAAATCAAATCAATTTTTTTTACTCATTTTCCAAGTTGGAAAGATTCACTGATTTGTAATTTTATTTATTTAGAATATATATTCTTTTTGTAGGAATTACAGTGTTTTAAATAAAGTACGGCTCTACAAAGGGGGAGGGGGGGGGCGCTGCAGGAAGGTTGTTGCCCCACTATGTTGGTAAATGATTAAAAGTACAAATTATAATTTAATTACAATTATTTACCTGAAAAAAAAAAGCATCAAATGTTAGACCCTTTAAGGTATTTGTACTTCTGAATAACAAATACCTGAGCAGTTCAGGTGGAGTAAGAATTTGTCCGTCGCAAACTGCATCAAACGTGAAAATCCGTCCACGACACATCACGACCAGATGGGTCGGACATGGACCCTCACTCTCTGACAGAGAAAAGAAAAAAAAAAAACAACTTTATATCAGGAAGAACACACAGGTTCAGGATGGAAATGACGTAAACTCTGAAGGTCAGGTATTCCACCTGTTTTGAAGTAGTTGTGGATGGTGTCCTTCGTCACTCCTGGTACTTTACAGGTGCAGAACAGCATTCTGAACTGATCCATATCCAATGGAACTCTGCCTACTTTCTGTGGAGCCAACTTCTCCCTACAGGATGGAGGACAACAAAATATTCTTTTGTAATCCAAAAAACTTTAGAAAGTAGAAAAGTCAGTCAGAGGTGATGGTAGGAGATAGTTTTAGGTATCTGTATTGTCTTTTTTGTACTCGATACATTTGAACACATATACCTGTACTATGTACCCCTAATAAAATACTGAATTTTTAAAAACATTTCTGTAAATCAGTTTGTAAAAACACAAAACCTCAATAAAGCCTTATGAATTAACTAACATGGGACGTAACTCTTGGATACTGCAGTTTTACAAGTTGACAAGTTTTAGAGAAAAAAAAAGACTTTTTACTCACAAGATTCAACATTTCAAAGCGTGTACTTTGTTACTTTCAGCTTGGGTAAAAAAAGTTCATCTGATTTAAGAGGGTGCTTTTTCCATAAGTAAATGTACTTCTACTTCTAGAGAGGCAATACTTTTGCCATTTCTGAAGTGGATGAACTTTAACTCAACAATTTTCACAAAAATCACAGATGATCTCCCTGTACAGGTCAAAGACTCACCTGTGGATCAGGTCCCAGTACTGTAGCGTGTGCCATGTGCTTATACTGGCCCTCTGCAGGTCGACTCCCTCTGCTGGAGGCCACCAGTGTTCCAGGTAGGGACCGGGACCGGCAAAGTTCACATTGAGCTGGGAGGGGATGCGGACTTCCAGATAGGCTGTGTCTAACCACCAGTCCTCTAACTGGGGGAGGAGGAAAATGTTGCCTGAGAAACAGGATTTAAACGGATGTTTTTTTCGATTCTTCTTCTTTTTCTTCTTCTTCTTCTTGTACATTTACTGACCCAGTTCCTCTTCGTCTTGGCTCTCTGCAGTAGTTTCTGATGCAGCTCTCGGCCCACGCCTTCTTGGAATTTTCTCACAACGTCCACAGTCGCTCTGAACTCATTCTCGGACGCAAATGGACGAACTGAGGTGCGAGAAATGACCAACTAGTTAGCAACCCAGTCAATGCAGCATGAAATCCTGGCACTTTTGACAAACAACCAGACAAGTGCAGCTTAAATACTTAATTTATGACTGTTTTTATGTTATATTATTTAAAAACAATTGAGACAAAAGTGTTTTTTTAACTGTGATTTTGAACCACAATATGACACTTTTTAACATAAACTGTGATTTTGAACCACAATATGACATCATAAGATTAGTTAAACTAAAGTAGTAAAAAAAACAGACCAACAGGAACACACAGTGTTATCACATGGCTCATTTAACCGCTCTGACCACAGTGAACAAAGTCGGCGTCCCACCTGCTTCTAGGTATTTGTTAAGGCTGCTCTCCAGTGAAGGCACAGGCAGAGGAGGCAGAACGCTTTGGTGCTGGAAGGTCCGCTCAGGCACCGGCTCGGGCGCCACGTTAGCCATTTGATCAGCTGTACCAGAAATTGGTCAAAACACGACACGGTTACATCAAAATCATGTTCTTGGTCAGTAGTTAGTAGCTGGTCAGCTCACTGTCGACATCATCCCAAAGAAACTTAAATGTAGTAAAACCTGTAGTTCTGGTAGAAGTACATGGGCTCCCTCTAGTGGAGTGTACGCAGGAAAATCTCATTTCTTCGCATGCAACATTTTTGTATTTTAACGTGTATGACAACAAGCCTCCAGTCACTAGGTGGCAGCAACTCATATGGTGGTTTGTACAGATAAAAATATACAATTTATCAGGTTGTCAATAGTATTTAAATTCGCGGGGGTTTGGGTCAGAGGAGGGGGGGATTTGGGACATTTCTGTCCCCAAGGGGGGAGGAGGCATGACTGAAAATAATTGAGGACCACTGTCCTACACAAACTACTTTATGTGCACAGCACCGACTAGGTAATGCACAAACCATACGTGTGCATTTTAGCATTATTTAAACGAAACAAACAATAAAATGTATGATTTAACACAGGCTAATATTTGTACCTTCCGTTTCAGAATGTCATAAACGTGAGTGCCAGTTCGGTAACGACACAAAACAACTGTTAATAAAAACATAATCAATTGAACTTTGATTTTTTTTACTTGCAAACACGATTTAATTTAATTAAACAAAACTTTGACTGTTGTTACACTTGCACCGCTGCAGCGCATTAGCCGTTCCGGATTAGAGGCTAACGCTGCTTCTGAAGCAACAAAAGCAGACGTTGGTGTTTTACATATACGGTCAAATGTTTAAGAAATTAAAAACATTCAATTACCTTGTTCAGGATATGTTGAGTTAAGCCTCCTACATTACAGTCACACGGCGGCGGCTGTGACAACAGTGACTACACTCACTGGTGTAACCTTTCCTCCACTGGTACAGCTGCCAGCAAAGAACACTGGAACTGCGCGTGCGCGACTTTTGTGCCGAAACAACAATGAGGTCAAAGTAGGAAAAGTACACCGGCCAGAGCAGTGCAGTGTGCACGAGTGATTGAATACATTTTTAATACGAGATTCCGCTGTGAGTCACGTTGTATTTGTAGTTTGTTTTTGTTTTTCAGGGCATGACACTAGCAGTATGGCTAATTGTGATACTTATACTACCACAATATTAATAGAACTGATGGTAGTATTAGAAGTTGTACTAGTAGGACTCGAATCGAGTATTCGTGTAAATGGTCGTTTTGGTACAATTATAACAAAACTTGTTGTAGTAGTGGAAGTACTGTACTACCACAAGTAGCAGCAAAACTACTGGTGGTAGTACTGGTGGTTGTACACTTTGTAGTAGAAGTATATCACTACCTATATTAATTAATTATTAATGGAACGTGTACTAACCTTACCTTTCCCCCACTGGAGCCACTTTATTGCTGCCAGCAGTAAATGCAGTAGTTTAGGAAGTAGCCTGAGTTGAACTATAACATGTAAGGAACGGAAGTTATACAATAAGTCATACTGCAGTTGACTTAGTACTGATGGTCAGAGTACTGTAGTAGAAGTGGAGACAGTGAGAGTATTCAGTTTTTGTGTCACCTTTCGCTTTTGTATTCCACAGTACTGTTGTTAGTACTGGTTTAGTGTACCACGACTTCAGTCCAAATATTTTACAGGTATTACATGAAAGCATTCAGTTATTTTGTATCCAAATCATTCTGTAAGTCTACCACTAATTATTACCTGAAAGAAATGATGTGGAAAACACACAGAGTACCAGTGAGTACAAAGTATTAAAAAAAGACACGGGCAAACTGAAGTAAAAACAGTATGTAGATTTTATTATTATTATTATTGAAATCTGTACAGTTCTTCTTTACATTTAACGGTGTTTAGCTGGTTGTTAATTGACTATATTAAACGTATATTAAAGTTCCATCAGTCAACAGGTTTACTACAACAAGTTCCATCAGTCAACAGGTTTACTACATTACTGTCCATTTGTACGGAGATACATGAGAGAGAATACCAGTGATTTAACACTCAACATGTTAACTCCTGTCATCATTTAGGATTCACAGTTTTATGAAATGATTAGATTGGCCCCTAAAAGCAGAAGGCGAATTCTGCTACTTTAGGTGCAGCACTGATTTAGTATTGACGTTATTTGTCTGTTCGAACATTAACTCTGCTTCCGTAAAATCACAACCCATATTTGTTGATGATTTCCTTCGCAAGGGCAACGTAGGCCGACATGGCGTCGTCGTTGGACATCCCTGAAAAACAGAGGAGAAATTAACACGAGTTCACGATCACGAAACTGTCTTTAACTTCCCGTGCATTTTTTACTCATGTATTTTAAATAATGCTGAAAATTTCAGGTTTCAAGGTCAACATTTTCATATTAAATGAATAAAATGAGAGATCTGCATTATCACAGTGGGTAATGAATAAATTTAAAATAATAATTAATAAGATTTTTTTTAAGGTCAATTAACCTAAACAGAGCTGTATACTGTATATAGCCTTGCAGGGTAAATCATAAAAAAGCTCTAAACAGAGCTGTATACTGTATATAGTCTTGCAGGGTAAATCATAAAAAAAGCTAAGGTAGAGCTAAGCTAAATTAAGGAGAGGTTGTTCACTCTTTTCTTTTTCCTTCATTGCTGTAAATTCAGTTGATTTCACTAGATGGCACTATACAGACATCTGACTATGTATCTACCTCCTATCTCTACTTTAACTGTTTCCCACCTCTGTACCGACCGAACATCGAAACCTTTATGATCATCTCACAGTCGTATCTGTCTGATACAGACTGACATCAGCTTTGGTAATAACTGATCTGTATTAATTATTAACTCGGCTGTTGGCAGACATTTTGCTCATTTCCTGAATGCTTAAAAGCAAGAATCCACCTCATCCATCACAACATGGAAATGCCTTTAGTTTATAAACCAACCACATTTTGATCTTTCCATTTTTAACCAATATATTTAAGAACAAATCTAACCAAAATGCATTATTATTTCCTCATCTTCTACCTTATGACTCACCACTTTGGTCTACTCCCTGTTATGTTTACATTTGCTGACAGTCAAATTGACACTGACACGCTGAGTCAAATTGACACTGTAAACTCGTAACACCAGGAAACGTGTCTTTTTTTAAAATCTTTCTTCTTACCTTTCCTGGAGTTCCAGGCGTCCCACTTGGCCTTTCCTTTAAAGTCCAACATCCCGGGTCGATCTACAAGACGTGAAGACATGTTAAAGTCAAGTAACTTTGTGCTGATTAAATTCATAGTATCATGTACTGTATGTCGGCATGTGTTTATACTATTTTAATATGGTCATGTAGAGCAAATAAACAATGAAGACGAGACGATCATTCCTAACAACATTAAACCTTTCCAGTACTACAGTAGTACTGTATATAGGTTGGGGATATTGTAGTAATAAATTAAAGAGAATAAATCCCAATGTAGCTCTTAGTAGCTGTCATGGGTTGGCCTGTCGTGCTGCTGTGCACGGCCATCAGTGGACTGCGGGCCAGATGTTTGCAGGCCTTCGAACTGCAGTTTTTCTTCCACCTTCTGACAAGTACACGTTAATTCCAACCGGAGTTTTACAACGTGGACCTGTGACTTCATTAGACCTTCGCATATTGATCTTCAGTCTTATCTTTGTGCAGTTTGGCCGTCTCTTCAGGCAGAGGTCTGTTGTTACCCTCCCCCAACCCCCAACCTCCTCAGCCCCATGTTGACACATACACAGCTACTGGTTCTAAAGTACATTTTTTTAAAACTGTGATCCCTGCAAAACTGCTGTTCTCATTAAATAAACTAAATTGAATTACTAATCTGTAAGACTTTTCCACTCTGGAACAATAAAAGACAAAAAAAAAAAAATTAGCCTCGCTGTGTCCTCTCTGAAATAGCCCCGCGCCCCCCATCTTGGGAACCACTGGTAGCTATGAACATCTTTCTTACTTCTCTACTTCATGTTTGCACCTTATCTGTTTAGTTGGTTGAACTGTGTCTGAGTCAAAAAGCTCTTCTCTGTTCTAGTTCTCTACTAATCACACCAGGTTCTGGTTCTGTTTTTTCGGCAGCAGGTCATACCGGTGTTGACGTCCCCGACCACTGCCTGCTTGTAAAGCCCGTACAGGTCCAGCAGCTCCTGGTCCGCGGGCTTGGACTTCACCTTCTTCACGTCCTCGGCCAATTTGTCAAACTCTTCCTGGAGATCAGGAGGGGAAACCGAACAGGAAAGTGAGACATTTAACAATTATAACGATAGAGCAGGAACATGTGCATATTAATCAGTAACAGCCAAGCAGCAATGAATAAGAAGTGAGTCTCTGGTTTCTATTCACGGCGTGCAGCCGGGGGAGACCCAGTGTTACACAGGCTGCAGAGAAACAATGGGCTTCTATTGGACACTGCAGTGTTTCCGTGCCCACTTGTATAATCTGCTTTTCAAAGGCTGGGGATTTTTGCCCAACAGATAATTACAGAGTATAATTTAACCCTTATGTCAAAAAAACAAACCTTTAAGTTTTTTGTGCTGCAAAAACAGCAGTAAAAAACAGTTTCTTTCAATTATCTTTAAAAACAAATAAACAATAGTGTAAACTGATACACTTCAATTCATGACGGTACTGAGAATCAGACACACCCTTCAGGCTCCAGCCTCAAATTTGAGCTTGTCTTAAAGTAAATGATAAAGTGAAGTTACATTAAAGTTTACAGATTATTGTTCTTATTGTGACTCTTACAATCAAAATTTTTGTGACTCTAAATATTTCTTATAATAACTATATAATACCTATTACTACACAACTGTTAAATACCAGGACCAGCAGCATCATTTGCTATTTGTACTTTACTGGTTGAATTGGTGCACACAGGGAGATGTTTGGTTGCAAATGCCTGCAGATCAATTTCCTGTTCAAATGACACATAATTTCACAAACAAAAAAAACAGTAACGGGTCACCATCTAGGTCTCACTGTGTAACGACACAAGTGTTGAAACTCTTCTGATGATTTCTTAACCATTCTGAGTCACAAGTTCTCAGACATGTTAAACAAACAACGAGCCAAAGTCAGGTTATGAAATGAAACACAGTGAGCAGCAGATTGAATCACTGCAGGGTTTTTGAGCTTTTGTATGTTATGTAGCCGAGATACTAGACTCCCCTGGGCACCACTATACGTACCATAGTTTGAGAACGACAAATTGTAAGCATTTTATTTTTTTAAATATTACAGTGCTAAATGGAACTTCGAGTCCTCAGTGTAATAGTGCGTATAAAAGCGATAATAAATATTTATTAAAATATATATATACATATATCGACCCGCGCTAAAGCCTAACGGATTTCTCCACCATTACCGAACGTATTAAAATATCGAACGTAACGAACGTATTAAAATATCAGTTAAGAAAGTTTTGTGGCGGACTTAAAGAACAATAACAGACGATGACAGTTTAAATCTGCATTTCTTCCATGAACTTTCAAAGATGGAAGACAGCAGAAAAAGCACAAGGCGTGAACGAACCCACAACCGCCCGCTATTCTCTCCACCAACCACCGTGATCACGACCGAACCTGCAGACGTTGCAGCCGACAGCGTGCACGAGATCAGATCAGACACCGATCAGAGGCAGTTCCGGGGGGTTTTCAGACTTTACCTTGAGAGACATTTTGCAGCAGCAGGGTCGCAGTTGGACAAAGGGGTCGAAGCAGTTCCGTGAGTCCTCGGTGTCGACTGTCTGTCTGCGCAGCTGCAATAAAACTCACAGCAGCTGACCCATACTGCAGGAGAAGGAGGGGGGCGGAGAGGAGGAGCCTTAATATTACTCCAGTATCAATGCGATATAAAATATTTGTTATAAACAGTTTAGAAATGTATTATAAACAAATAATCAACAAACAAACATGCATTTTTGCGGTCAATATGTCCAGTAAACTGCTATGCTGTGAAACAGTGAACAGATGAATACGTAATTAAGTTAATATATGAATTGAGGAATGCGTAAATATATATATTATTATCTGTAAACTTGAATCTAAATGGATAAAAGAGTAAAAGTATTGCTAACCCACGACTAAGTTAAGCAAAAATTACAAGACTATATCAATGTGTCATTTTCAAATCGTGCTCGTCTTTTTTACATGAATTATTAATGTTCCGTGTGAAGATGTTTTCTTGTACTACCGCGGTGTGGCCAGTGTGGGGCGCCGCTCGATTCCTTGCACATGTTTTTTCAAATAAAGTTTGGTTCAAACGAACAAACATGGCGGCCCCCGGTGCTTCACTCATGTAGCTGCTGTTGGGGATGTGAAAACTACAGAATCCACAGAATAAGTGAGGTTCAGCACTTTACTCTGGTTTGGTCGTTATTTTATTTATTATTTATTATAAAATATTACGGTCGTTTTTTTTCATTCGTATTAAATTAGAGTATCCCATTAAAACAATTGCACAATTGAATGTATGTGCTGTTTTTCTACAGTAAAATCAACGCAGTGAATATTTTCTTTTATAACGTTAATGTGGTAATTTCTGCCTCTTTTAGCAGCAAAACACTTCACAGACCGATGTCCGACATTTTGGATAATAATTCTCGTGAAAATATGATGCCGTACAACTACTTACGATAAGGTGGCTCTAGCCCAGCCTCTTCATCATCATTATCTACTTTGCTAATCAACAATGTATTTTCCTGTCCACATATTCCTTTGAAAATGACTGCTTACACTGGCTTTAATCTATAATGACTCTTTTCTTTTCCATCAAGACTATGATGGATGAACTACATGAGGATTATTTTGGTTATTTATTGTTGATGACTGGTTAAGATTGATCTTTTTTTTAATCATTTCAGAGTAGAAATGGCCACTCCAGCAAAGCCCACTAAAAAGGAAGCTAAAAAGCACATTTCTCTTAAGACATCCTTCACCTCACCCTTCAGTCCGACATGGAGATCAATTCCACAGGAAGACATGCACTTCATCCTGGAAACGCTGAGGGAAAAGCTGACTGTCATCGGTCTTGAGAAAAAAGAGGTAAAACCATTTCGTCCATGGAAAAACAAGAAAAAGAAACTGGAAGAATCTGATGCCGTCACACCAGAACCTGTTGTCCAGGTGCAGGAGGCACCCAAAAACGGCTGGACAGATTTGGCAGCAAGACGACAGCTAGCCATTGGCATCAATGAGGTCACCAAGGCCCTGGAGAGGAATGAGATCTCGCTGGTGCTGGTGTGCAAGTCAGTCAAACCCCAGCACATGACAAATCACCTGATAACGCTGTGTGCCACAAGAGGAGTACCGGCATGTCAGGTTCCCCGTCTGAGCTCCAGTGTGTCCCAACCTCTGGGTCTGAAAAGTGTCCTTGCAATAGGATTCAGACAATGTCCCTCCAGTGGTGAGGGCACCTTTGCTGACGTTATTGATGTGATTAAACCCAGAGTGCCTCCATTGAATGTTGCATGGCTGCCTGGTAAAGACGCCACAGAAGGAGTGCAAGGTGGTGATCAGGAGGAGATGAGAGATGAGGAAAAGAGAGGCCAGAAAAGAAAATTGGAAGCTGAGAGTGAGGAGGCAACAAAGTCACCCTCCTGCTCCCTGCAGCCTCTCAGAGTTAAGAGAATAATTCCCAACCCTGCTAAGAAAAGAAAACCCAAAGTTAAGAAAAAATAGTTTGCATGGACAATAAACAGTTTTTTTTTCAGCTGGATTTTGTACCTTGACCTATCACTAGTGCTGATAGCTGAGTGCTGTTTTGTTTTGGGGTTTTTTCATTATATAAATCGTGTATATACAGATTAGATTTCATGAAATTAATTAAAATCAGTTCAACTTTTTTTTGCCAAGTGTAATGAAGCAACATATGAATATGAAGCAAACATGATTTTTATCACTCTGTCACCCACTGTTTCAGTGATAAGTATAGTGAAAAGTATAGCAAAAATATGATGTTCCTTTAATTACAGCTTGTTTAATTGCTAATATTTCAATGTAGATTTAATCATTATAATATATATTAATAATAATAATTTTTTAACATTAGTACTTTTTAGCTCTAAACATAAATGTTTTTAACTTACTATTTTCTTTTAGGCTCGTTACCCTCGATAGCAATAGCTACAACAACAACCAAGAAAGGGAGTGATGAAAAAGCACAATTTGCTCAAAAAAAATATTAATAAAGTTTAGATTTTTTTTCATACCAATATCTAAGACTGGTGACAATAAGTGAAATAATAAAGTTGAAATTAAAAATGAATTAAAAAAGTTAAATTTAAAAAGTTAGCTTAGCATGCTAGGTTTGGTATCCTGCGTAACGAACGAAGGTTGTTACGTTACCAGCGTCAGGTGTATAAAACGTCGATAAAAACGATACTTTAAGTTAAAATAAAACAAAACGTTTTCACTGAGCTAGACTTCTATTGCCTTGTTTTTGTTTTGTTTTGCCAATTCACGCGAGAATGACGAACGGTTAATCGTCAATTTATATGGAAACGACTTAATGTGTTCTCGGTCATGTATAGTTATAATAATAATTGAGTACATAAAATCTTTTTATAGTGAGTTTTATTCAAACATTCATGCTGGTTTTAGCCGATGTGTATTGAAACAGATTGTTGTTGCATGTGGTCAGGCCATGTTTACATGGTGCTGGTACATGTCGTTGAGCTTTTTCTGACAGCTTATAATGGATTTGAACGAAAATGCTGGCCTCCAGTCAAGAGAAAGCTGCACACATTTTTAGTTATTGTTTTTTTCTTTTTGTTTTTCTTAAAAGTACAACCCCACCACCCTGTTTTAAATAAGGCAGGTCATTTGTGTCGAGTCCTCACTAAAGGGTGTAGCTAGTAACATTTAGTGTAAAATCAACACAGCAGCAAAACTGACATGCTCAAAGATTCATTCAAACAGCTGCAGGCAACACATCAGTGACGGCCAACCTCCAGGAGGCACGCTGTTGACTCGGTGACTGTTCATCAGGGTTTTGGTAACGTTTGTCCGTGTGGATGGAGCCCATTCAACCCTTCAATGGTAGAAAATAAAGCTAGTTAATGGAGAGATGAGGAGGACGTTACATCACATACGGAAAGGTCAACAGACAAGACAATAGCATTCACAGAACGAGGAAAAATACATTAAAGTTAAAACAAAACAAAAAAACTCAATAGGAAAAGATAGTTTAAAAGGACATTAAAATCATTTAAAGTAAACAACAGGCCTTTGGCCTTTTACAAAAAAAGACAGAAATGCCTGTAAATCAATTCACATAAACGTAAGTAACACAAAACAAAGAACTTAAAAGGGAAAAGAAAAGTCTGGAGATGTTCAGTAAGAACAGTTATAAATATTGGAACTGTTTCACTCAATTATCTGCACTACACAAAAAAAAACCTGGTGTAAATATTTCAGACACACAAAATACAGTACCATTAAAACATATTTAAGAGCTGTAAACAAAAAGCACCTGAAACGGAAAAAAAAAAAAAAAATCACATTTTAACTGGTGCAGGCTTTTGTTGATTAAGCCACTGTACTCTGAAAACATGCTGCTGGAAATGACTTCTTTTAAACACTGTGCTCAAGTTCTCTCTGTTTTCCTGAACTGAGAGTTAGTTCTGACTGCAGGTGAGTAGATGGATGTTTACCGAGACTTCAGAAATGCTTTTCACCACAAACAAATGAACATTTGCTTATTTTTTTATGCTTTGCAACAGGCAGCTCTGTGTAAGAAAAACATCTGCAGAGATTGTAAAACCAAACGTGTTTGTTTTAAATATAACTTAAAACCGAGAACGTGCACTTTTTCAAAGCAAATTCTACAAAATAAAACTGTCTCTAGAAAAAACACCGGCAAAAATGTGTTAATGCAAGTACTGTTGCATTCTTATTTTCATTCATCACATCATCACAACATCTATTTGCATAATTCATTAACTTTCACCAAATAACTGTATTTGTTTTCTACAGAAATACATCTCTAGAAACAGTTTCATTTTGTCAAAACAGCTTGTTCCTTTGTTTTCTACTAAAATTCTGATCTTTTGCTCGATTAATAACCAAAGAGAAATAATTGTGCTTCATTGATGCGCGACACTCTTCTTCAGCAAACTTCAAATACACTACGAGAATATGACGTGGATCTAAATGTAAGTTTACATTGATGTTCACCAGTGAACCAGTTGAAAAAGACTTTCACTTCATACCAGTGTGAATTAACTGAGTTTCTACCTTTCTGAAAAAGAGGATTGTTCTTATGTCGTATTGTCATCTAAAATATACTCAGAGACCTTAGCATCTGAAATTTTTCAGTGATGCCAACACATCCAGCGGACACACTCCTGACCTCACTGACATGAGAACATACTGGAATAATGACTGTTCCGTTGCGGTGGGGATAAAATAACTATTCGTTTGGACACGGTGACGTCATTTTCACATTTTCCCTCAGTGAAATTGAACCAAAACAAAACTGTCCCATTCAACAGTTTCTACAGAGGAAGAGCTAAACAGAATGTACAAATGGCAAGGCATCCTCTTGAATGTCAAACGGGTGACGGTTTTTAATGTGACTGTTCATGTGCTGTATGAGTATCTCAGGCATAGCATGACTTCACATTCAGGATGTTGATGAGTTTTCAGCTCCAGGTGAACGGAGAAAGTTCTGCCGATTTGAAGCGCCTCCCGTTCACCAGGTGTTTTTTTTTACTTTAGTAGATTTCATTGTCTTGTTTGGGCCACCTGTGTTTCCATGTACGGAGTAGTAGCCGGAGGCCGGTGAAAAACCTCTCCATCAGTACTGGGCAGAGCTGCAGTGGAAAGACCTGCTACTGAAGGACCAGACCCACCTGAAACACATGATTTATGAAGATGATTTATGTGTTACAGTAATTACAAAGCCAAAGTACAGTAAGACATAAACAAAGATGATTCATGTGTTTACAGTAATCACAAAGCCAAAGTACAGTAAGACATAAATTATTCTACTCAAGTACATCACTAAATACGGTCGCTTTCTTTAGCTTCAAATTTTTTGTATTCATATGTAACCACAAAGAAATAAAACTCTGGTGTATTGTTAGTGTTTACTGCAGCACTGCTGACCTTTTCAGGGTCCATGGATGGACACTTCCAGTTGTAGAGGTAATACTGCAGGTTTCCATCTCCTATGCCAAACTTGAGTTTCTCCAGGAACACTTTATTCTCCATTAAATCCAAGGCATTGAAAACATCGAAACCTTTCTGTTAAAAGCAAAAAAAAAAAAAAAATCACAACAATAAATGAGTGGGTCAGAGATGAAGCCACTTTAAAGAAAGTTAATCTTTGAAAAATTATTAGAAATAACGTAACCAGTTTAATTTTTCAAACACTTTTGACATTACCATCTTAGCCAGGATGAGGGCGTCATTCATTAGGTCCAGTAGTGGGGTTTGTGTATGAACGTTGTAAAAAGAGTAAGCAGCCTTCAGGCTCCTATGAAGAGGGTGATGCATCACAGTCGAAGGCAGAGTGTAGAAACTAGTGAAATCTGTCAGTTCACCACCAGGGCCCTGGGGTAAGACAAACACAAACACAGCAGACATTGAAATACTGAGTAAGGAGTACTACCAAGGTCACAACTGTAGTCCAACCCTACAGGACTTCTACACAGTACTCCATAGTACTCTTCCCCCACTGTTTTGTTACATCAGCATCAGGCAAAGAGCTGTGATCAGCTAAACTGTAATGCATTAGTTCAGAACACAACAGTACATACCTCTACAACATATGTGTCTATAATGTTGTCCTGCGGCAGGAACCAGTGTGCCACCTCCTCTTCCCCCATAGAGGGCGCCAGATGGAAACGTTTTAGATATTTCTGTAGCAGCCCCGTGACCTGTCTGATGTCACGTCTCTCCATGTGTCTCAGACCAGAAGTTTTGGTGCTCTGTACCAGGAAAAAACAAGGACATCCTTATTTTTTTAATATATATATATATATAACCTGCTGTTACTTGGTAAACCTGCAGAGGGCACTGTGTTGTGTTGACAATGTTTACATCTGGAAGTCTGTAGAGCTTCATGGTTCTCTGCAGGGTCATGTTTCTGCTCAGGTGGGAGAATTTCACTTCCACAAGCTTCCTGGGATTCAACGAGCGATGCCAGTACCTGGACAGAGCAACAGAGGTGTCGGTTTTTAAGGGACTTTGGATTTTGCAATCATGCATGTATTCGGCACAACGAACCTGCATGTGGACACAGGTTTGGGCAGCACCACTCCAGCTGTGTACACCGCCTGAAATATTCCCTCTAAGTTCACCCGCCGTGTGATTTCTCTGATCAGCACAGGAGCGACGCGTTTTGAACGCAGCTTTTTGTGGACACACAGGAAGTTGATCTCTACCATCTTCTTCAGCCTGGTGTGACATAGATGAACTGTTCAATAGTGTATCTGGTTCTCTTATCTTCAAAATGGTTACAAAATGTACAGTGTTCGATCATCAGCGATTTGCTCACGTGTCATAGATGCGTATATTGGCAGGGATGGCACTGATGAAGCCGACAAGTTTCTTATTGGACGACACTCGTACGCCGCAATGCCAGTGGGGTAACCATCCAGGAGGACGCAGGGCCCTGAGTGGGGAGGATGTGTTGAGTCAAAGAGGTGACGGATAAAAAAAAAGAAGGTGATTTTTGTTTTGTTTGCAGCAGATGAGAAGGTTTGGAGCGAAATCTTACCATTTAAGGAAGTTGGGAGAATAATCGAATCTGAACATGTTGTCATCGTCCTCCACGTAGTTTTCATTTAACAGCGTGTACAGCTCTTTCAGCTGAAAACACAATTAAAGTGTCTCTGTGTCAAATGGCATTTTAACATATTTACCGTCTCAGAGGACAAGTCTACTCACTACGTCTGCGTTGCTGAGGTCCAGAGTATCCCACATAAAACCTTGAGGTAAAGAATATGGCTCCTGTCTAATGTTTTCTTTGTCCCCTTCAATCGGCCCATGACTGGTTACAACTTCATCTGCAAAAACATCACAGAGAGGATCACTATCACGCCAGTAGGTGGCACAGGTGAGTAAAAAGAATGTTAAAGAACATTAAAACTGTGACCTCATGTAGATCGCGAAATACCATATTATTTTATAATATGGACAAATACAATCTTCTTCACAAGACCATGATTAATACCATCCACCAAACAATTTTATAAAGACTTTAAATAAAATCAACACTTTGACCTGATTTTGCAAACAAATTTAAAAATCCATTTTGTTTCAGTTCTAAATATACTTATTCATGAAGTGCTTACTTAGCTTTGGCACAGGCTGAGTGTCCCAAAACTGATACTTGTGCTTTGCTGCCTCATCAATGCTCTTGGCAGGACCTTGGCAGGACAGCAGCTCCATGGCTCTTTGGATGTCCTGCAACTTCTGAATGGGTAAAACAGGGTTCTGCAACAACACAACAGCCATTCCAATAATAATAATAATAATAATAATAATAATAATAATAAAGCTACAGTTGCTGAACAATGTTTTTGTCACCTAATGTAAGCTTTTAGGAGTGTAAACAAACAATTTTGTTTCTATGTCTATTACAGTACTCCATCAGTCACTGCACTGACAGTCGTGGTAGCCTCATGTTTCAATTGGTCTGTGTATTGATTATTGATGAGGGATCAGGAGGTTTCAAAAATCATGCATTCAAGTGTTAACAATTAAGGAAATTACAATTACTGTACATTGGCTGAAGCAGCACCTGCTCTGGTAATCAAAGAACTAGATGACATTAAGACCTTTGGTAGAAAAATTTAAAAAAAAATCTTATATAAAATATACATGCAGTTCCATCTGGGTCTTTAAGAACGAGGGTGTCATGGAAACACAGATGAAATATATCTGGGGTAATATGAGACTGGGCTTTGTTTTACAAACCACTACCACTATAATTAGAATTGCGTCAGTGGTTCTATGAGTGCTGTAAGACAATAGTGGTCTGTGAGCCAAGGCAACGGTAACACTCCATTGGTCCATTGACAGTTACTCACAGGAACGTATGGTGACCTATAGTATCAGAGATTTTGTGTTAAGATTTCAGCTTGGTCACCTTTATCTCCTGAGAGTCTGAGGCAGAGTCAGATTTGGCTCCCCCCGAGCTGGGCTTCTCTTTCTTCCTCTTCTGTTTTTTCTTCTTCCTCTTGGCCCCCAGGTCTCCCCCCGGACTTCTGCAGAGAAAAAGGCAGAGACACAGGGTCAAAAAAAAAAAGAAGTGACATCACAGTACGCCAACACACCTGAGCAACATAAAGACCCAGGACCAATATTAGTCCAATGTAGGTTTTATTAATTTATTGAGATATTTAAATACAGAAATCACAGCCCAGTGGTCCTATACTAAACTGTTTTGGATAAAAAAGATGACTGAGAGCCTGCATAGACAAGCAGCTTACACATAAACCCCGTCATCTTATTTACTCTATACTACTGTTTTGTGTATTTATGAGTCTTTAATGTTAAACAAATGCATATAAATGCAAGATGTAACTTAGTAGTTACATTTTACTGCAGTAACACGGGTATTACAGAGAGTAAAAACTCTCTTTATTTTTGAACCCAAACCAAAATTCACCTCTTTACCTCTAACCCCAACCATTCCCAGAAATTCGGTTCCGCCACATTCGAACCAGGCTCTGGTCCCAGCGAGGACTACAGGTCGTAAAAATGTAACCGGTCGAAGCACAAAATAATAATAATAATAAATATCAGTCTAAACAAACTCACACACGCACGAATTGAATCACAACGCACGCGCGCACACACAAAACAAGCTAACGTGTTAGCTACCATAGCAACGACTGACAGCTGTGCTAACGCTGCTTAGCAGCGAAGCAACGGCTCGTGTATCCAGCGAGCTGTCAGCGTGTCATTTAAGCAGGGCGAGCATGGGTGATAATGAAGCTAACGGTTTTCATGTCGCCCTTGCTCTAAATAAAGGCACTAACAGAAACAGCCTGGGTGTGTTTGGCTAACGGTTATCTATGGCTAACTGCGCTAACGCGCGCGCGCACACACACACATGCGAGCGCTTATAAACAGGCTGACTGAAATAACGTTAGTGCGTCTCCAGGCGGAGCGACCAGGCCATCCTCACCCCTGCATATGCTCATTCTCCTCCTCGTTGTCCCCGTCTATCCCGCAGGTGTCCTGGTCGTCCAGTTCCAGGCTCTGTTGACTGGCCGCAGATTCACTGTCCTCCGCCATCACAGAAATGTTTTTCTAAAAAAAATATTAGTCCCCTGGCCGTAGCACACCGAGAGCACGGGCTACAGACGAGAGATGGAAAAAAACAAAGAAAATGTTGAAGGAAAATACACCACCTAGAGGCCAATAATGGAATTGCTGATCAACACCCTCAACTTGTAAAAGGTGGAGCGTCCATGAGATTCCTAAAATGTTAATTATGTCTTACAAATTCTATTTACAGCATAGACAAACACAAAAGGATGTACAAACTTAAACGCATTAGTGGACTTGTGTGAACAGTTTCCGTAGTGTAGTGGTTATCGCGGTCGCCTAACACGCGAAAGGTCCCCGGTTCGAGACCGGGCGGAAACATACTTATTGGTCATCATAGGCGTGTGTGGCGCCATTACCGTTAGAAAAAAAAATTCCTTCTTGCATATGTTTATATCTGTTATGATCATGAATATACAGGTTATATTACCATGTTTTTAAGTTGGAACACCTCTGGGGTTATATACAGGTTATATTACCATGTTTTTAAGTTGGAACACATTTGAATCTCACATAAGTTATTACTTTTTCTTTTAAATGCTGCTCTTTGGGGCCTAGAGGATCTGAGCTCAAAACAATTTATAACTGATAATCTATTTTTTCTTTCCTTGTCATGGTGACGCTGTGGTTATGATTATTTACTGATTATTTTCAGTAGTTGTTTTAGAGTTTAGTGCATTTAACAATCTATTCTTTTTTAAAAAAAAAAACCCAGAGTTACCATTTAAGAATTGCATTTGTTTTTAAACATAGCATAGAAATTATATTTACATTGTGTTATCTTATATACTACAGTGCATCACCACATCAACGAGCTCTGGTTGTTTCATTTCATTTTTTTTCCCACTAATGCAACCCACAAAGTAGTAAAATATACAAAGACAAACAAATATGTTCATTTATTTTTGGCTGTTTATTAAAATTATAGGCTTCAAATATAATGCAATGACTGACTGACACTCAGGACGCTGTAGTGCAACTCCGGCATCAAAGTGGAGGCTGCCACGGGAGAGGACTCGGTCATTCACAGCCTCCAACTCACAACATTTCCACCCGGCGGAGGGAGCAAACCATACACCGTCTGATTGCCAAATACATGATCCTTGAGTGGGATCTATGTTGATTATTTCTCTGCACGCTCACATGGACACAATCTGAAATTCAAATGCTCACTGCAGATGGACACCACACCACTCAGGTACACACACAAAAAAACCCCAACATTCACTGCTATAAAAACAAAACAATAACAACAACAACAAAAAAAAACCCAAAACGCTCTGAACAACAATGTGGATTAGTTTAACATACAATCGCGCTTAGCTTCGCGTACGCTGCTTTTACACTGAAGACTCCGGCCGTTTCCTAACTGCTAACATCTTCATGGAGGAAAGTTGTAGCTCTGTTAATTGCTGAAGTGGATTTTAAAGTTGCAGCAGCTGGTAGAGATTTTCTGAGATGTCTGCAGCGTAGCTTGTAGTGCCAAAGAAAGTTAACTGCATGCTTTCCATCACCACTGGAAGAGAAAGGGAGGGTTGAGGTAGTGGAGGAGAGCTGAAGGCAAACGTTTGAAATAAATAAAGGTAATCTGTTCCACAAATCTGTTCTGGGGACAGATTGTTCAAAGGCACTTGGAACATTAGGGAAAACAAACAACAACAAAAAACCAGAGGTGAAACAGCGAGCAAAAAGCCTTCAGTTTCAGGTCAAAGGTGTGTTTTAGAGTGTGTCTGCTGTTAGAACTTCTTACAATAAGGCAGGTGAAAGTGAAAAGCCCTTAACGTATTTAAAGACAAAAAAAAGCCTACTTTGGATAAAATACTTCCTGTTGGCAATTAAATTCAAAGTAATAAAATTAAAAATAAAAATGGCAAGCAGAAATATAAAAGAGATGCATAGCCTTCAGAGCCAAAAACACCGCTCAGTGGTTCACCAAATACAAAACCTTCATCTTTTTACACCCAGCAAAATTATTTTGGGTAGAACTGTATTCGGGCAGAGGAATTCTATCAGATCACACTTCGTTCAAAATCATCATCGTTTTCTTGAATCATACAGTGGTTTCTGGAGTTAATGTAAACACCTGCACAGCTTTTTCTGATGAGCCAAGCTTAAAATTCTTCCAGCTACAAATTGGAAAACCATGAAAGTCACACCTGCCTCCCCAAGTCCGAGGAACCTCAAATGCTCCAAAACTTTGACACAATCTTCAGCAATATCCTCCAGGAGATTATGATGTCATAATCTTGCTTTCAACACCCATTGTTTCCAGGCTTACGTGGTAAAACGGGGCCAATATGGCTCAAGAGAGAGAGAGAGAGAAAAAAAAAAGAAGAAAAAGGTTCCTGAAATCTTTCCTTCGTGAGAACCACCATCGTCAGTTTCTCTAGTTCATTCTCCATCCAAAGCGCTGTGTAAAAAAAGGCGTACAGTTCTTGTGCATAAAATATTCTCACTTCCCGCCACAAAGTCTTTGTGTCTCCTCAAGGTTACGTGTACAGGTCTGGTGGATGAGTGGTTACGTTACGTAAGAGAGTGAGCCTCAGTGAACAGTGGTCATTTCTGGAAGGACAGAGAGAAGTTGACGGGAGAGCTGAGTCTCAGCCTCAGGACCAGAAGGATCCCAGTGCTGACATACGGCCTCAGTGCTATTTATAGATTTCAATTCAAAACGGTCTCATCCTTCACCTCGTGGTCCGGGCTGAGGGGGGTGGGCGGTGGTAGTTAAAGGACTAGTTCACATTTTTACACAGGTCCTAAAGGAAAAACCACAGGCCGTAGTGACTTTTTGACTAAACTTCAAAATGTATGTGTACAGTGTACAGACATATTTGTTTAACCAATGTCTAACAAGCACA